ACACTGTACATGCATGTGTGTATTCAAAGTACACATACTGTTCATCATTTGAAGTGCCCCTTATTTCACATACATGTAAAAATTGAAAACTACTGTGGGTGCTTTCAGATTTACAGTGTGTTGAAGGATTATAGATCAGCGAATGCATTAAATACTGGTCACTCATGCTTGTCATTTTGTTCCCCTCCAGGTCAGTGGTTGAGCCCTCACAACAACAGCCACGTCAATTATTCATCTAGTTAAACACTGTTTTATCAAGAGTCTCCCCCTCCTTCATATCAAATTTGTTACCTATACCCTGAGCAAGCTTGCGATTCAGGTTCACTATAACGATGCCGCTTTTATGTTGACCGGCCCGAGCATAGGCACACATTAATAACAGCCAAAACAATTACTCATCTGGTAAGGTCCATTCATCATTCAGAAAAAAAAAAAAAAAAAGAGAAGAAGAGGCTGGACTACACGTAGGCTGTTTGGTTACCCAAGGCAGGTTGCGACGAGTATGAGCCAAGCCAATAGAGCCACAGCCTAGTTTAAAACCAAGTCAATATTGGCCTACTGAACGCAAATTTCCTCCTGTAACTGATCGATACAGCAGGAAGCAATCCGTGTGGTCAAGATTCTGAAGACTACCCTCGACATACTCTCACTGGTTTTTATCTTCCTCTGCGGCCGGGCCTCCAAGTTCTGTTCTTCAAGGGCTGCTTGTTTAAGTTCCATTTTATGGCTTGTTTCTGTGATATGATTTTTGCCTGCGGCCGTTGTACGGTGCATTGAATTAGTCATCAGGTGTTTCAGTAGGGCGTTGTAATTGTGATCATTTCTCACGACAAGAAAGATGGTGCTTCTTCACAGGCCGAGTGTATCATGTATGAAGTTGGCCTTGGGGCAAAACACGATCTGGACTTTGACAGCCAAATGTATCCAATACATGCACATTACATCTTGCTCTCAGTGTGTAAATGAGTTTTACACCCTCTGCACAGACAACTGCCTACTTGCAGCAGATAGCGGATATATCCCATGTCCCGTACCAGACTTGGATGTGGGTTAAACACACAATGCAAAACGAGCTTAAACATCTGAGCAATGTGACAACAAACTGTTGGTTTGCCAAATATTGAGATTACAGGACTAAGCACATGCAAGGTTTTAAGCTACATGTATTTGCTCACTTATTACAAGTGAATTCCCTTTCAGATGTTAACAACCTAACCAAGAATTCAAATCAAAATTATCCATACCATCCAGTCTCAGTGATAAGTATTCTGATAGACAGAAGGGGAGGCCCCAAAAGACCCCCAAAATGAACCTTTGACACCAATGGTAAGGTTTAATTTGTTAATAGAACAAACGAAATTAATAAAAGCATCTCAAAGCACTGATAAATTGTGTCTTCTTACCGTCTTCATCCAGTAATATGTTGTCTGGCTTGATGTCCCTGCAAAGCGAGATAAGATAAATGACAGGATCAGATCCTATCACAAGAGCGACTCTGTTTTTTTCTTTAATAAAAACACAATCAGCATTGGAGACTGATTAATGGATTTGACATCAAGGAACCGTTGCAAGGGCCTGACAGATGCAGGAAGAGCCACTGAAGACGGTAAAGCATCCTCCATCAAAATACATTTAAGGAGTTCCTTGGGTTAAACCAAAGGAGATGCAAGGACAGAAAAAGGGATTTCTAACCACTGCATACCTTGGCAACCAATATGGTCTTGTTTTCTTCCATTGGAAGAGAACGGAAAAGGAGATATCAATCTCGGCACTATTTGTTGACAACATACATGTACTGTATTTGAGTTGGTGGAAAGAACTAAGTTATTGTTCATTTAAAGAGCGGGGACAATATACAAGTACATACATGTATATATATGCTCAGCATCCAGACAAGGTTTTTTGTGCACATTCAGATGAAATGTAAGGTTGTGACCAAAGTACACGTACTTGGCTCGGGCAAAAAAAAGAAACAAGTCTACAGGGATACACTAAGCCACTATCCGGTGATTAAGACAATCCCCTTGGCCATGCATATGTACTTGAACAATGTACTCAGTACTGTATGTACATGTACATGTGCGCGTACATGTACATGTACATGTACATGTCATGTACTGTACAAACTTCACAGTACTGTGCAAATTGAACACAAAACAGGTGCTCTGGATGGTTCTACAGGTGCTGCATCTACTTTTTATGTTCAACTGAGGAATGATGGACAAATTTGAACATGTACTTGAAATATGTATACTGTGAAAATCCCATCTCCCTCTAAGCATTCATAAATGTAAACATTATGAAAATCAATACCTAAAAGTATGGAAAATACAGAGCTTTTTGTCATTTTAGTCAAGGAAGTTTTAAGTACCGGTACTAACAAGATACTGGTAGTGTGAAGTTACAGATCAATATACCATTTGTTATGACTCTGGCACACTTCCTACACTTGAGCTTATACAGCCCTGTAAATATTTGGCAAAATTGTCGGGCCTCTGCTGATGGCACACAAAGCAAAGCTATCCGGTACTTTAACAATCCCTGGGAGTCCATACACCATTTCTGAAATACAACACTTCTTCTTGGTTGACACTTTACCCAGATGTACACCAAATGCATTGATTGCTCTTTTGAAAGGTGGGTTATGTACACATACATGGTGTGGTACTTAAAAAACAGCATAAAAATATGGCAAAGATTTTGACAAATTAAATTACGGCTGATAACCTTCCTATAAATGTACAATGATGATGAACAGTTGCCTTTTTCCTTAGTCAAGAGCATTAATGTTTGGAAGTAAAAGTACACATTCTTCTAGATGTACAAACACTGGACAGAGTTCATTCTCAATAAATTCAGTGCAGATGACAAACAGATCGGTGAGTGGGAAATGTGTTTATGGCCAGTTGAGCCATGATGTTTTTCAGTTCAGTTTAACTCACAGCAACTTCTTAGCAAACATGAAAATTGTCTTCCTTTTCAGGCACGCAAACAAGAGCCTCAGGAGGTCTTAGCTACATGTACCGGTATGTCCAATTTAATTGGCTACGGCTTGAAATCATGCACAAGTCTATGGTTTGTGGCTGCAGCCAAGTAATTTGGACACAGCCTTACAAAACACAGGTTTCCTCATCCTCTGTCTGATGTCATTATTTCAATGGATGGAAAGGTGTTTGTTCTTATGTCAGATCTAAAGTACAGTCTAAAGTATCGGTACATGTACATGTACATACCGGGTACATGTGTATCTTTACATGTAATCCATGTTGGTACCTGGTACCCCGCGGAACATTATGATTGCGATGAAATAGAGAACACCAGGGACGAATGTACTTGTGCAACCTTATTATCAATTTGTTTCAGACAGATTTTGCCAAAAACCAACTACGAGAAGTGAAGATATGCTTGTAAGAGTTACATACATGTGCAAGCCTCTCAGACTAGGAAAAAATACAGTGCACTGACAACAATATCAACAAATTCTTATGATGAATTTTAACAGCATACAATGAAAACATGACTGCCTTATCCCCAGAGTACTATTAGCTGCTTGCACATGTGGCCATGGCTGGCCAGCGGCTTGGGCTATGCTGTGCAGAGGCACGGGAAGGCATAGCGCTGTGTTTAGTGATGGATTTCATTCTTCAAAATGCCGTATACATGTAAGCTGCCCCGAGTATAAGCCGCAGGAATATTTTTCAGCATGAGAATCAACGCATAAGCCGCGGCTTACATTCCGACAATTACGGTAGTCTTGAGTACATGAATGCACACATGTTCACATCTATAATAAGTGGAAGCGCACAAGTTTACAGCTTGTAACAGACTACGCAAATAAAAATAGGACAGTTTCATGTAAGTACATGTACATGTACCAACACGTACAAGTACATGTACATGTACAAGCATGCTTCACCCCATCTGTGGGTTTCAATTTACAACTTCCATGTTATCAGAACAAACACGCAGCACAGCATGAAAAGAAACAATCTCAAATGACGAACTGGGCTGGAGGTTAAAATGAAGACTACACTCTGCAGAGTCCAACATTGGAACAAAAGACAGGAGACCGACTGATCTATTTGAGACCAGCACTAAAGAAACTAACGACTGCCTCTGGATGCCCCATTGAAACTGCAAAAAGCAACCCCCCTCCCTTCTGGACAGTTGAAACCATTGATTTCCCTTGGGTCAAGGCTAATGACAGGTTGTCCATTGCCTGAAGAGTCCAAATTGTCCCCTGCCATGTTTTGCTCATTACACGCCCGCCTCAAATCTAATATCAGTCTCAGGATCCAGATTCACTTCATCATGTATTAGCACAGACTGGGACTGGATTCTTTTTGAGTTCTTATTTTCGAGTGGAAGAGAGAAGATGAAAAGAGAGAATTAATGAGTAGAAAAATCCATACAACTGGAAAAGCATACCGGTACATGTACATGTATACATGTACATGTATCAAGGATAAGAACAATTGAAAACATTTTCTGATCAGGGATCTATCCATGAGTACATCGGTACAACAAAACACCACATAAAAACGTAAGTTTTTGTTCAACATTTGTCAATGCACAGTACCTCCCATTTTGAGCATTTTTTGCAAAGCATAAAGATGACTGTCAACATTTACTGTTAGAGTTGGGAAGGATCCATCTTCCTACTCATCCAGTAGAAACCACCATCAAACTTCAATGCATATCTCTCGATTCATGCCTAGTGTGGACATCACTTTGTTCTTGTGCAGTTAAGAAAACTCAGTGAAAATACTCACGTTTTCTTTAACTGGGAACACAATTTTCAGCTGGATTTTTGTAAAATGTTTCCTTGACTGCTCCTCTTCATTTTACAACACATGTACACTGTATGACTCCAACCCCAAAATGCCTCTATACTTTTTCAGAAAAGGGGAAACGTCCTGTGGACATGGGCAACCCCACAGAGCGTCTTCCCTTTATGCATTGTGTGAACATTTTTTGTTAACAAGTCCACTCTAGGTACATAAGGTTAGCGCATTAAAGAGGAAAGACTTAAATTGTTGGAGGGCTGGGTGGGTGGAGGGAAGAGGTATCAACCACAAGAGAGACAAGACAGATATTGTGCTTTTACCTATGAATAATGTGGTGGGTGTTGAGATAGTCCAACGCCAGTGCAATCTCACAAAGATACAGCTTGACCCTTTCCGCATCAAACTTGACACCTTGCTGGATGTGGTAACGTAGGTCCCCGCCTAGCAACAGGTCTACCACCATGAACATGTCTTCCTCATCCTGGAAGGTAAACCAGAGATTGACCAGGAACGGATGCTCCAGCTGCTGCAGGATCTCTTGCTCCTTCAGAACGTTCCGCACCGCATCCTTGCGGATGCACATGGACTTGTTCATGTACTTCATGGCAAACATCTTCTTAGTGTCCTTTTTCTGAACGATGCAAACCTGGTGAACAAAGCACAGAAAATCTTTTCACAGAGGAGAGTAACCTTTCACCACCCAACCATACTAACCAAATGCTCAACCGACAGGTACTGTGCGAGAGTGGTACATTTACATATACACAGAGGAGCATTACATGCCTAAAATGATTTGACTTCCATCTGTTCGCTACTGTTGTCTATCCTGTACAGTTTTCTTGAATGTCGTTGTCCTGCAATGGGACCAGGGGACACGTTCCCCATAATATCCCCCTACCATATTAATACGTACATGTACAGGTGGCCTCTAAATAACAAGAACAAGGCTTTTATTTTTATAAAAAGGGTACAAAAAAGAAGAAAAAAAAGTAAAAACCCTCACTGATGCAGAGAAGTTGAAACACAAAGTACATATACCGGTATACATGTACACGTACGTATATACTGGTACGTGTACCAGATTTATCGCTGGCGCTACTTCAACTTTGCGTACTGAAGTAAAAATCATGTTCCATTTTTTTTGGCCACCACAAAGTACTATATACATGTAGGTGTGGTACCCCTGATTAATGCAAGAAGTGAATTGGGTTAGAAACATGCATACCGCGTAATAACAGGGGAGCAACACACAACCACGAACAATTGGAAAAACAGTTTCATGTTACACGTCATTGCCTAGCTTGACAAAGCAGCAATTTCTGGAATTTCTTGCGCTACTTGCTCGCTAACATGTTGTTCCCTTGTGGATATTATTTTTTTGGGGGGGAGGGAAGGGTGTAGGCCATGTTTTGGGTATTAACTTGAAACTGGAGGCCTGTGAGGCTGACAACATCCATTCCACAAGCCTTCCTGTCCTTAGGCATTGGCAGGCATTGAGTTTACAAGCTGTTTATAGAGAGCTACTGGGATATTTCTGGATGCTGTTATTGCTGTCCACACAGTACTAAACATGCATACACATGCATATAAAGGTCTTACATGCAAAAGCACGCCCATACATGTGCCGAAGCCCTCAGAGTGCATTTCTCTGTTACAATCTAATTTGGATGGTGTCAACATGCAATTTCAATTCCCGACTACATTAAACAGGCACACAATAGCATGTAGCCACTCCCTATTAAATGAACGTGACTAAATATAACTGGTCCCGGGAGTCAGCAAATAAAGGTGTCATGAAGAATACAGAGATTTCTAAGAGCTGCACAGTATACTTGTGCATTTGGTCAATTTTGCTTGCCCAAAAAAAATTTTAATAAATATCCTAGCACATATGCCCATATTACCAACCAATGTTGTGTGATGAAAATCACATTTCAGCTATAATGGAATCACACATATACATGTACATGTATGTTTTCAAATGTCACAGTCTACATACATGTGTACATGTACCGGTACCCAGTACCGGTACATGTACACGGCCAAGCACAAATTCAAGAGACCAATCAGGGAGCAGATAATTTTTATTTGTACAGTCCATGTACATGTAGGGACAGTTGGAGTACTGTACTCCGTTTGCTTCCAATTCACATTCACGTTTCAAATCTGCCTGCAAGATGTCCTACTGACCAGCCGTCACGATTTATAAATAACCCCTCCTACCCACATCTCCTGATTCCCCATCAGATATGGTACTGTATATCAGAGGTTGATGTAGAAATATTGCCGAGATTTCGCCATAAAAATGTTAGTTGGCAGGAGCTTCAGATTGGTCTCCTTGAGCTCCTACAAATGCTATGAATTGTTTTATTTATATCCGGTAGGTAGGGCATCAAAGAACTGGTAGAGAAGTGTTTGAATACATGCTCTGTGAGTGAACAAATAAGGACAATAACGGACATATCCAATCCTACGTACATGTACACATATGTACTCGTGTGAATTTCAGAAGTTAAGGGCAGAGCAGCGAACTGACTACATGTACATGTCAATACCTAAATTGTTAAATGACCAAGTACATGTACCGGTACATGTAAGCTGGACATTATGCACATCGGTCATGATGCCTGCTCCCACAAAGTGATTCACAAAAAATGACACCAAAAAGGCAATGCTGTAGAAGGTGAAATTAACTCCCTGTGTGCCACAATGATTTATCGCCACTAATAAATATTTAGGTGATCCTGTTAAGCAAATGCAAGGATGCACAGCTAGCTACTAGCTGTACATGTACATGTCCATGGATCTTCAGGGAGGGAATATTGGAAAGACGTCATTAACTTGATCCATTTTTCCCTATGTCTATAATGGCACTGCATGGTAATCCTGATGCATGAACACAATTAGTCTTGTATCCCACAAGGCTTTTCAAGCACTCCAGGATTGGATAGAAATAAATGATGCCCTAGGCACACAGAGCCTCTAGATTTTCTGCCAGATATTTAACCTTTGATGGGAAGTCCAGTTGTCTAATCCATTCTAGTACTGATGGCAAGGTTAAAAAGCAAAGCCCAAAGGTACTGTAAAAAGAACGGAATTAAATGAAGATGCAAGGCACTGCCTCCGTCAGTGAAAAGAAGTTACATTGTGCATGACTGTATCGGTACAATTGCCTGCAAAATAGACTTCTTCCCTCCCAAAGTTCTTCCTTCTCTTGAAAAAGCTGACATGCCACACTGTCTGCACAACTGAGAACCGACGAGCTAAAACTTTAAGAAAAATCAAACCAATAGAGACTAAACAAGGACAAAGACCACAATTTACAAATCAAAATGGAGGAAAGTAGAAAGGTGACAGATCCTCTGCAACCCACTATGGATGTGTATAAAGGTACTTTAGTTTTACATGGATATGAGCGAATATGGGCCTTTTGTGCAGTGAAAAACAAAGACTTCCGCATGATGGCTTCTGGGAGCAAAGGACCTGTACACATGTACATACTCCTGGCAGGATTACAAAGATGATTTAAATTAAGTTGTGAGCATCTCGCAAACTTTTGATAAAGTGCACAATAATTTACAAGCATTACTGAGCAAAAACCAAGTCAACAATACCCAAATAACTTTCAGGATCAATGGAATTTGGAACTGAACTCTTGAGAATGTAAATGTTGTTGGGTGAAGTTTGCCTAGAGCATTTTTATGATGCAAAGCATCTACCCTTGAAGCTTGGGAATTTTGAGAATTTGGATTATCTGCACTGGCATTTCCCTGAGCACTATTAAGTGTCAACAATATGGCAATCAGGGATCAAAGAAAGAATTTACTTCAAGTTGATCTCAGCTAGAATGAGAAAAACTCTGGAACTACCCCCAAAATGCAGCCACTGCTCAAATGCCCTGGATGCCAATGTTCCCTGTACATGTTCCATAACCTTTCAATTAAGACCGGAAAAGTGGCATCCCTTTCCACTGCTGCTTTTATCTGTTGTATCCAAATTGAATCTGTGGTTGTCTCCCTGAGTTGCGTTCGGCTGCTTGCGAGGAAGGAAGGTGGTTTAACTTTCAAAACTGATCCTCCAAATCGGAAACCGGAATTTGCATTACCGGCAACAGCAGGAGAAAAAACGAGAGTAGGTTTGGCCACCAGGAGATGGAGAGTGATTGTGATGAAATGCTAATGCTCATCCCTGGAATGGCAGAGATCTCCCTCAGCTCAAATGTGTAAACAGATGGGCAAGTAAGAACTGAGCTCTCTGACATAAAAACTGGAACACCCAATGAACAGCTGTGAGAACAGTGAGGATTTAAAAGGGGTTTCAATTCATTAAACTGGAACAATGACCCCACTATCAAGTGGCAGTAGAAGGCTCAGTCTATCACTTGGCGCTGATGGATAAGAACCATTTGACAAGGTTTTACTGAGATCAGGAATATGAACAAAGTGGGAAGAGGTGTTCAACCATATAGTGTTACTTCAACAGTACCAGCGTTGCAGTCAAGTACATGTACAGTACATATGTATAGGTACTTCCCAAGTACATGTACCAAGTTCTCTCCCAAAAATTGGACGAGATGTATAATACAAAACTGCTGCAAACTGCTTGCTGACTACGTTGACCTAAAATACAAGTCTATGGAGGGCCTGACGTTTTGATCCTAGCAAAATCTTTCTCAAAGGCAAAAATTGAACTGGTCAGGAGGGAACAAAGCTGAAGAACATGGGCATCATGTGGCAAATGCTTAAAGGTAAAGATTACAAAATAAAATGACTTCAGACCATCACCTTTACCAGCAATTAATTTTTTATGACAAAACCACTTGTTCAAGTAATTTTGCCTTTAAACTTAATTTTGACAAAACTGGGAGTGTCTGAAGTAATATTTATTTTGTAATCTGACCTTATATGTGCATTGACCATCCGGTGTTGATTGTTCTCTACATTGTACACAGCTTTGATCCATCTCAACCAGTTCAATATTTGTCCGAGAACGTAGTTGGTATTTGAAAAGTACTCATTCACTAACAACGCTTTGCAGTACTGGTACATGTGCCAAACCAACAAATGAAAATTCTGCAGAAAAAGACATTCGATTTCAGGAGGTCTGACAGCTGTGACGCAAGACAGCCTAATATCCTACACATATGCATGTATGTCCGTAAGTATAGTGTACAATTGGTATTACTTACAAAATGGTGGAAAAAAGGCTCACAATTAGTCAACATTATGTAAATTAACCAGACCGTTCCTTCGGTGACCAGTCTGAGACTGATGACAGCTCTTATTTGGCCAGGAGCCAACAAATGTTAACTGGAAACCCAGCTGTTTTCTCCTTACACCAATGGATTAGTTTAACTGGTAAAGCTTCAGGCAAGTGACGTACATGTACTGTATACCTGTACATGTACCGCTACCTTGGGGTTCAGGTAATAATTATTTTATACTCAATGCTTTTTTTTCACAAGTGCCCCGTTTTTACATGCATGCATGTTGTTTTTTCACCTTTCAAAATTCCCTCAAGTTAATGTCAGTAGCCTACATTGTACATGTACATGGACGAGGCGTATGTTCATCCAACGGTAGGCTACACGTACGCGTACACTGTACACTGTAATCATGGAGAAATAGTGTTTTATTCCTCCATCAGGCCTTGCGCTAACTTTTTTTCCTGGCTGGCCCACTGGGCTAGTTAACTGGATATTTTACTAGCCCATTTAGAGTTTACTAGCCCGTACATAAAAAACTTAAAACCTTGAATTAATCAGCTCACCAATAAAGAAATTGACATTTCAGAAAATAAAAAAAGAGGCATGTATGTCAGTTACACATCGCTTGATTCACTGGTAACGGAGTCGGGAACAAAATCACCTCTTTGCTCCATCTTTCCCCTCATTTGGGTTGCTTACGTTAGGCAAAAATTGCCACTTTTTGCTTAGTCTCTAATATTTATATTGATATATTGATTTATATTGCATACATGTATTTATTTTGATCTAAGTTTTAACAGGCAGGCTTATTCTGAATTTTTCACTAGCCCACCGGGCAACCAAGGAGCCAAGTTTAGGTAGCCTGGAGCATTTTTAGGTAAAATTTGTACGCTTTGCTAGTACTATTTCGAGGCCTTCTCCATGGTCCAATACTGTCTCATTGATGCTTTGAACAATGCTACTGCAGACAATTGATGTTGGGCCCCTATTCCTCCAGCCCTCCACTTTTGATTTCACATGTAGCTTGGGTGACCAGAGAAAAAACCCTGCAGCATGTACATGTACACGTATACCCAATGCCCTTTTTCACAACGTTTACAATGAACATGTAGATCCCCCCATCAAAATGACCTTGTAACACAATGTATGTATACATGTACATGTATATGTACACCATGTGTACACTTAACATACATTACATGCCCCTCACTTTCAATTCATACAGATACATGTACTGGACAGAAATTGGACATGGTCAAAAACATGTTGGATGGTAGACACAATGTAAATGTACCAGATGTACAAACTACCTATCAGTATTTGCAATTTAAGTGGAACACATTTCTACCACACTGGGCCTGTTTGCCAGGAAAGTTCCTTGATGTCAAGCATGCTTCACATGGAGTGTGAACTGGCACTCAAAGAGCGAGACTCGCATCATCCTTGTTAGCTAGCCAGCCAACTGTTCAACCCTCATCAAATCCACTTGAAGTTGACAAGCCACTGTTGTTGACCAGTAGTCCTTGGCCTCAGCTGTTTTGCCCAAAAGTGTCAAACATTCAACAAACCAGTTCCAACCAACAAACCAGCCACCCATGCTAGCTACTCTAACAAGGTACAGCAAGCCAACTGTCCAACATTATTATTAGGCATGCCAGAAAGAAAAAGCATCCCAAGAAAGTGAAAAAAAAGCAGACAAAAATGCAACCTTTTTAGGAAAGGACAAATTGCAAAAATGCATATGTTGGGGCCTGAACCCGTATCGCTGCAGCAGGGATATGTCCAATGAAGAAAATAGTGGTACATGTTGTACGCCGATGCCAATGTCTACAGAACCTGATATAGGAGATTTCTCCTACATATGGCTTACCAATTATTAATGATTACAGTAAGAACCCCTCCACACATGTGCATGTATGTAGATATTCTATCTAGAAACTACAAACATTTTCATGAATGTTTGAAGAATGGGAAGTACCCGTACATGTACATGTAATTTCCCTAAGGACAGGATGGCTCAATGTTGCACATGTGTCTCCAAAGTAAGGGGGAAAAATACCTGCTCAGCTGTGACCAATTTCATTTCAGGTTCTCTGATGACTGTCATGAAAGATTATTGCGAGAGGCAGTGGGCCGAGAAAAACAAATCCATGCAACACTCCATTACTGAAACAGTAGACCTGGTTAGATTTAACCCCATGAGCAGTAAACATCAGTCAAAGCTGCCATGGGTATGCTTAAAAACAAAACCTGGCCCTTCAGCTCTCCAGCAATGCAGCGTTTTGCATTTGTTATCCCTGGCAATAGGGTTGACCCAAATACAGCCTCGTGTTTGTTTGCACTTGCTTGTTTGAAGTGGGTAAAATACAGCTACCTCATCAGCACTATTGACAAGTTGTGTAGAATAAAAACACCCAGCAGACAGTGTTTAAAATAACAGCACGGCTACATATACAATGTTTGTGTCCATGAACAGTTTTACAACACTGCTTACTCTGTGTGAAATAACTTAAAAGCCAACCTTACACTTGAATCCTAACATCATGCACACTTTTGATAGCAACCTTCCTGACTCTTCAAAACTCTCCCATATTGCAGGAACCTGTGAGCACGTTCTAATTTCAAGGAGCTGCAAGCCTCATGTGCAGCTGTCATGGCTGGGCTCCAGCTAAAACATTCCCGCAGAAACTGCCCAAGCATACAGAGAGTTTCAAAGGCTGTGGGAAACCGAGACTTACACATACACGTACATGTAAATTATGTAAATGGCCTCTATATCGTACATGTACATGCTAAAGCTCTGTGCAACTTGGTCATATAATAGCCTATAAGTACAGCAGGTGTGCACACTAAATATGACGTAAGCCTTGATGAGAGGAGAAATTAAAAGAAAAATCACGCAATATACAGGTAGTGTAAGGTACAATGTACACGTACATGTGCATACACGTCGGGGAGTAAAATGCACAGATCACATGACAGTGCATGCACGTGCATTTCCAAAAGCAGCCCGAAAAATTTTTAAAAAAAAGGAAACAAACACTAATTGGTTCTGTTTCATGTTGATTAGGATTGCTTGGCCAACCATCATTTGTTTGAGAGTTCTCTGAAGCAGCTGAGGACAAGCCACAACAATATGCACACACCTGCGGGAGAAACACCTGTTCCTTGATTCCAGAATTTCTGAGAGACTTTGTCTTGATATCATGCCAACGTCTCATGAAATCCAACACCGTTCTCAAGGTGGGGAGGGGGAAGAGAAAAAAATCCCATTAGAATTGGTGGCCTACCTTTCCAAAGCTGCCCTTGCCAATGGCCCGCAAGATCTGGAAGTGGTCAAAATCAACTGTAGACAGGAATGAGAGGAGAAAACAAATGGAAAATGAAAAACATGTTCAAAGGGTTAAGGTTACGGTTAGGAGTTTTGTAAAATAAATCAAATACAGATACCGTAGTCACTGTGGATGAATAAAAACCTAGGGGTCTGTTGGATACATGTAAATAAACTTAATTAAGTGGCATTATGCACTCATGGTGAGAACAATACAATTTGGTTAGATCTACTCCTTTCCTCCATGGTCATACCCACTGTGTGTACGGTATACCTTGAAGGTCTGCAATACACCTGTCAGCCTGTCCACAATCTCCACATGTACGAGTACTGTACACGGACATCAAGTGCACCGTCAACATGAAAAAAAGGGCTTTGAAAATCTGATTATGTGGGTACACAGTACACATGTACGTACATGTACGGTATCTAATGTTAGCCTGTATCCATTTCATTTGAAGACTAAAAGCATAACTGGCTATTATAAAGGAATACATGTTAACATGTACACACATGATACATGTGTACATATACATGTGTGTACATGTACAAGTACATGTATAGTACACATTCACCACATCAAATGAAGGTGACCTTCACTGACAAAATCCTTAACAGCAGACAAATCAAAATAACAATTAGTTGGCATGGAAACAGCTGAGCCTGCTTTGTACCGGTACCACAATTATGATTTACATGCACCTTCAACGGGATTAAAAAATAATAATTTTCCATCTTTTTTTTGGGGGGGGCTTCTTTGCTGCAGCCAAGCTGGGCAGCTCTTTCAGGTACTTGAACACGTTTACAAGGCGGTCCCTCGTTTTGTCAGACAATCTGTGCTCCAAGGCATGTATGTACATGTACATGTAAATTAATGTATCAATTACCATGGAAACACAAGAGTCTACATATTTTTTGGCAAGCTTGCCAGGTGCTTCGTACTAAAATGAATTTATTGGTCACTGTTCAGTGTTCAGCCTCCAGCTGCACCATATCTACACGTAAATGTACATGTACAAAAATAGTACCAATACAAAGCAGTCTTGAGAACTTATTTGTTTGAAAGTTTCCAAGTCACTTCAGTCATTTCCAAAAGATGTGTATACCTACTAAAATGTGACGTGGACAGCAACTGAAAAGTTCAAGAAAGGGCAAAGCTTTCCAAAATTATTTAATTCCAAGTGGATCATATTTAATTTACAGGTGGTTGGATCACAACAACACATGCTGATTGTTTTCACCAGAGTCAACATCTGCCTGCAGTTACAGATAAAGGTTGAGACATGACATACAGCACAATGAATGGAATCTACCAGTAGAGTTACATTTACAGGTACGTCATGTCCAGTTTCTTCGTAAAATTCCCTAAATTAAAAGTCTCTGATTTCCCAAAAATTCCAAAGTTCTTTCATATGACATTTTGAAACAAAATATATTTAAAAATAAATCAGAATTTGTTAACCCAAACATCCTGCTGTAATTTGTTTTTGTGCATCAACACATAGTTTACTTATTCTTATGGCTTGGCATTTCCACTGCTTGCATAAAAAAAGAAGACAAGTGATGTTTACAATTAATTTTTGATATCACAGTGTACATGTAAGCCTTGATAAGTATTTATTCTTTCCATTTAATCAAAAATCTGCAATGCTTGTTTGTTAAACACTGCTTGCTTGTGCTACAGTGGAAAGAGAGAAAGAAAAAAACCACTGCAATTATTCAAGGGACAATGATATGTGCTACATGTACATGCTTGAGGTTTCAGCGCTGCTCTGCCAGCACCAATTAACATGTAATGTACTAGCATGAGGTACGAGTACAGGTACGATACAGTAGGTCTGTGCGCCCACGATGGCTAGATGACTATTTGTGGCTGTTTGAAAAAAAAAAAAAAAAAAAAACCACCCTGATTATTGCTTTGTGTGGTGCCGCGGAGTCTGAGACCAATGCGATGCAAATGGTTTTAAGTTGCCACGTCTACACATGATGTATTGAATGTGCCAGACCTTCATTTTCATATGAGAGGAAAATAAAACGCTAGGGTACTGATAGTGCTTGGGTGTGAACGGTACCGTCTAATTAATGCACCGGCAAACGGTTGGTAGTGGTGTATGAACGATGAGATTTAGGAAACAAATTTGGATTATATTATTTGGGGCATTAGGAGCAATATGGGGACAGACTAAAAATAAAGGAGGTGGGTTGAGATGGGAATGGGGAATTTAGGTTCCATGTTGTTCATTTTCTAACACCTGCAGTGGATTTTCTAAGCCAGTCCAACACAACATTAATTCAATTTATCTTATGTGTACATGTATGTGAATTTATCTTACGTGCATGTGAATGTCGAAAAGTCTCTCCTCCAATTTCCCCAGAAAAAGTTTTTTAAAAGCTGATCATTTAAAATTTGTATTCAGTCACCGATGGCTACACACTTGAAAATCTTTTTGTAACAAGTACATGTAAGTACATTTACAGCAGTGCTTTCATTTTACAATGTCGCCAAGTTCTCAGGAGGGAAGGGGGTTCTGAATGACCTTTTTCTCTCCTTTTAACAGCACAGTACCCGTAGGTCATTTGGGACACCTTTTTTGTTATAATGTGATTTAAAAGCACAAAATAGTACTGAACTGGACGAATTGCTTTCATTTTCAATTGATGGCAGATGCAGACGAACAATTTTCAACTACTGGTTTGCTGCTTTAAAACCCTAACCCTCCCAAATCCTCCAAAATCCTTTTCTGCAAAGTGGAGGAATTTGGAGGATTCAGGATGTATGGCAAAAGTGCCCGATATTTCTTTTGAATTAACTGCACAGCTCAAGAGTGCCATTCGCACTGCCTCGACATAATGACAGGAAATGCCGCAGGATTTTGACTGATTCGGGCAGTTAGGCACACCTCCAAAAGACATTTTTAAGAAAGTTTAGAGGATTTTGGAGGATTCAGGATGGTTCCTAGTAAAAGAGCTTAGGGGGTTAGTGTTAACTACAGTGTACAGCATTTAAAGCTAAAGTAGGAAAGTAGGAACGGACCTTACGGTCAATGACAACAGTCAGTATACCATATACACTGTTACATGTATGTACATGTAGCATGCGTCTGTAACATAACCTCAAATGTTACGCTAAAACTGCCGGTCACAATCAGATAAGATTCTTCAAAGCACTCCCTAACAGAGCAGATTATGGTCGACTGGTGACCAATTGAAAATGACCCCACTGGTATTTCAATTTAATTAGTTAGACAGAACACATATTGATACTGTTGCTAAGTGACACATCCACGATGCGTTGCTATCAGAGGAGGGGGAGGGGACAAAAGGGGAAGGAGAAGGGGAGAGAAGACGGATTCATCTCTCTTCCAACCTCTTAGAGTGTCAACATTCTAAAAGCCAAACAGAATGTATGTCCAAAAATCATTGAGGTGTCATGTCACAATAATGGCCCATCAGAAGAAATACATTTTGAATGAAAATATGAATTCGCTTAATGGACTCACTTCGTGAAAATGGATCCCACGGTAAAGACAATGCATGTGCAAGGCCTACATGTACCCGTAGTTGTCGTGAAAGAGAACAGAAAACGTACATGTATATGTACATGTAATACAACTTAACACCATACAAATGAACGTCTGCTGAACTGGTAAGGAAGAAAGTACCAATAGATGCTCTGGAAATTTACATTATACATGGAACACGTACACGTATGTATAGAGCCAATGATTTTCTGTTTCAAAAATAGGTATTTTCCGTTTTGCCAAATCCCCAATTCTGCTTCAGAAATTCAAATTCCGTTTTATACCTTCGTAAGCATGAAATAGGAGAGCAAGTTTTAAACTATGCATGGAAACCATTTGCCCAACCACATCGCCCCCCAAAAAAGAATGAAAAGAAAAAAAAATTACAACAATATTGTTTGGAAATACTCTACAATGTTTTCACCTTTTTTATATTTTACGTGCACATGTACACAAACATGTGCACGTACTTGTACAATATGTTAGATACAGTGCATTGGTACAGTACATGTACATTAAACATGTGCATGCATGCACATGTACCTACTGTGGTATGTACAATGTACCAGTACACATTGTATACACATGTACATGTTCAAACAAATCTGTGCGAGTGTGCCCAACATAAACCATGAGCATGTACATGTACAAGTGTATGTGTACATGTACAGTACAGTATACATGAAGGTACATGTACAAATTAAATGCAAAAATTGTACATACTCTGCTGTTAGCATAAGGACTTTATTCATGAACAACAGAGGGCGCTTTGTTACCTAGCAACAGCTTTGACAGCACCTTTCCTTTACTTCGGTGTAAACAGGGGAGGCCAGTAAACTGTTAATGGTCTATTTTCAATTAATCAATGTACTAACTTGGAATAATTATATGTTGTTTGAGTACTGTACATGCAGGTGAAATGGCCTAGTCTTTCTGCTGTTTACAAGTGATCCATGGGGCGCGTGTGAGACCAATCTGTGTCTTGTTAAAACACACATACAAAACAAAAACAAAAATTGAAATGATGCAAGTCAAAACCAAAACATTCTTTTTGCCCATATTGATTGTTTTAAGTATTTTGTTTGATCAGCAATGTGTGAGAGTCTACAGTTGTCTCCCAAGATGTTATCCAAACTACATCTCAGAAGATGTACGTACTTAAAAAACCCTCACTTGTTAGTTGTTTGCTTTTATTCCACAATTTAAACATTGCTTAATTTTCTTTTCTTTTTTTTCTTTAACTCTCTTCATTGTAATGCCTCATTTTAGAATGTGGCATACTTGCATGTAATCATACGTTTGATTTATCCCCCTCGATTTTTCAAAGGTAGCTTTTCTCGTCCATTTTTCTGTTTTAGTAACCCGTGTTTACTCACATTGTTTATCAGGGATGAAGTTTGAGATGGAATATGAATATGATGGAATATGAGAGGTTTCATGCACATACATGTACATTTTTTCCGCAAACCCTGGTAAATGTACTCACACATACGTTTGCATTACACAATACACAGAATTGCAGAGGTTTCATGCACATACATGTACATTTTCCTTGCCAATTTGGTACCGGTGTTACTGCTGCGTGCTTCATGACACTGACTTGTTCGCAAGGTGCAATATAATTAATCAAATCTGACATGCAAGCTTCTCAGCTTACTGTGCACGTACTGTACAATGCCATACGTGTGATTTGGTCACCCGTTCACCCAGTGAGCAATTTCTATTTGTGACCGGCTCTAGAAAAACGGGTAAGAAGTCGCCAGATTCAGGTTGTCCGTTTTTGATTGGCTGGATTCTGTACGTCAAAAGCTACAATTTGATACATGGATGACCCCAGTAGTGTGCTGTGTTCCAGAGAGATATAGATATTTGTGTATTTTCGGATTCAATAAAAGCACTTTTCGAGAAAAAGTGACTGAAAAGTGAAAACAGTGACTAACAGCGAAGTGGCGGAGCCCAAGTCAGGGGGTTCCAAAGGACCAGTACCTGTTACAATCTTAGCAAATTACTGGCATAAATTTAAAAGAAAAGGTGTTACAAATTTCGAGTTACATGTACCAATTCCCTACAACTGTTCTGCATGTCAGTATTCCAGAGACCAGTGACTAGTACTGTATGTACATACACTTGAACTCTGATGTGTGCAACATTGTGCAGGCGTGGCATAGTGTGGACCTCTGCACAAAAAACGTCCACATAAAGTAGGGTGCGATGGCTTAAAGTGGACTCGTACACGTCCACACAATGTTTCCCCCTCTCTGAAAAAAAGTTTCAGAGGCATTTTGAGGTCAAGGTTATCCGTGGCAAAATGAAGTTGAACAGTTCTGGAAAACATCATCAAAAATCCAGCTGGAAAGAGTTATCCTAGATGGAGACTCCTCAAGTTTCCTCAACCACAGGAGAACAAAGGAATGTCCACACTTTGTATGGGAAACAGACCTGGGTGTACAGCCATGTACATGTACATGTACACTGTACCTTGACCTCAACTTAGTGTCTGGTAATCATGGTAATGCGCTACATGTACATGTACAATATTCTGTATGCCACTGTTTACAATTTTACATATCGTAAACATACATGTACATGTACAAATATACATTTTTGTTTTTTTAATTACACAATGTATATATGTACTGGTACCGATGCTTACATACATGTATGTACTGGTACCAATGTTTACATATGTACACTGTACAGATACTGATGCTTACCAGTGGGCCTACATGTACATGTACATGTATATAAATTGTGCAGGAACATGCAGTACGTGTTCCATACAGTGCAGCATATAAATAATACGTATTTCTATTGGAATGAAAAATACAACAAAATAATATCCAACAAACAAGCGAAACAAAACAAAATAAAACGAAACAAACAGGCCATTTCAAATTGACCAACACCTTGTATACATGCATGTAGTTTTTACAATGCGTAAAGTTTGCAGGAACATGTATCCAGGCAAGCAATGATGGAAACTGTTGTATGTACATGTACAGACTTGTAATTAAAAAAAACGAAGTTGGTTTTGCTTCAACGTTCATGTAGCTGTGCATACAATACATGTCCTGGTTCACTGCTTTACTGATACCAGTGTCCATGTACAGTTTCTGCCTACAATATACATTGTACATATGTACATTTAATATGGTGCACAGTACACTATCATGTGTAGCACACAGTACCAGGTCTTCTATAGGTGTATCATTTATATTTTTTATACACATTTACTTTTTTTCACCTTGAAATTACAGACAAAAATGAATTTTCATTTTCACCAACAGGAGGATGCCATTTGGTGTTTTCCACGCCTGGGGCAGATATTCTAATAACTTAAACAACTTGGCTTAATTTAAACCGACTTACCGGTACGTGTACATGTACATGTAAGCCCAAGATATAAACTTTCTCATATACATGACAACATGTCTTATTTCATTAAACGAATCTCATGTATACTTAACAGTTGCCCTTGGTATGAAATAAGCACTGTATTTTCCAAAAGCTTATAAACGAAAAATCTGAAACAATTTATGTGGGGTGTACGTGCCAGCAGGTGTAAGTACAGTGCAGTTGCTTCTGATACTGACCAACCAAGCTTCATTGAGTGGAACTCCAACTCATACTCTCCTCAGCTTCATTGAGTGGAACTCCAACTAATACTCTCCTGAGCTTCATTGAGTGGAACTCTAACCCATACTCTCCTGAGCTTCATTGAATGGAACTCCAACCCATACTCTCCTGAGCTTCACTGAATGGAACTCCAACCCATACTCTCCTGGGCTTCATGTGCACAAGGAACTTTTTGACAAGAAGGCTGAGTCTAGGTCGACTGGTCTATTTGAAACCATGCAACTTAGTAGAGCATAATGGTAACAAATTCAGTCAGTGTACATGTGTCAGAGTTCCACTCAATGGCAAAAAATGGCACTTGATGACAATGACGTACTGGGGTAATTCAGATTTTAATAAAAAGGTTTTGACCCAAAGAATCTTGTGACTGTGCAGACAGATGTTAAAGCGAGTTAAATCTTGCAAAATTTCACTCAAAAAAAAGTGCTGCTGTCATTCTTTAAAGGATGCCAATTCAATGTTTAAATGTACACAGCCTAGCAAAATACTAGCCAGGAGTAAACAGAAACAACCTAGCAACAACACCATCCCGGCTCCATTTGCAGTGAGAAACAAAAATTCCAATTAAATCAGTACAAACACAGAATGAACACGTAATTTGACACTCACCATCGCCGTTCTCGTCAAAGGACTGCTTCCGCCCTGAGTGATTAGCTCCCATGGTGCACCCTATCTTGACGACGAGTTCCTGATCGGTTCTGCCCCAGGCTGGGGCAAAACACCCACCTCCCAGAAAAACACAACCTCCAAAAGAAATAAAAAGGCCCGGACACCAACACTGCCACCCCCTTCTAATACCACAATGGCTTCAGTAGTAATGTATTCCTGATCCAAAATCTGCTCGCAAACGTCTACTTTACGTCTGGATCCTGCATGGTTGCCTGCACATCACAGGTTTGGACACGTACACATATGGGGGCTGGCGTTACAATATCACCCGATTTTGGCCTACTGATCCGAGAGTGGGCCCTGTGTCATTATACCACGTGTAAACAGTGGGATATTTTCTCCTCTTGTGTCACTAAAGTCCTGGCCAGCTTTAGTAGGCACTGACATTAACAGCTAATCGCCACCAAGCCCTCTAAAGACAACAATTCCAGATGTGCCATTGTCTCCAGTTGTGTTTAAACGATACCCCCGCTCATATCATCATCGGTCTGTGCTCCCAAGCGTACAACAGCCTTGGTTCAATGGTACATGTTCAGCTCGGCATCACCTAAGCTGGAATGCAATTTATCGGGCTGTCTGAGCTGTGTGTACGGACTGTATGTACTGGAGCTAACACGCTAACATTGCTGACAGGAACACACACAAACAATGCTGAGTTCTCTGTGCCGTCCGAGGAGGTGTTTCCGTCTCCACCCTGAAGGGAATGGAAAGGCCAATAAAGAGCAGTGTGATAATAAATTGCCTTTTTGGAAAGCTGTGTAAAGCTTGCCCAACATACACTGCTAGCTTGAATAGGAAGGTCAACCAGTATATTTTGAAGGCTGATGCAGGTTAAGGTCTTGCCAAGTACTTGCTTTATTTGCAACCTTGATCTGATTTCAACATAATGAACCTGTTACCATAATTATGAAGTTAGCCAAGTGGAACTCTGAATATTCTAACAGGTCAGCATAAGCCTAATGATTTTAAAATGAAACCTAAACGTGCACACAAGAGACTTTCCATACTGCATAAAATGCTATTCTATCAGATGAACCGGTAACTCAGTGTTGAGAAGTGCAATTTTTCCATTTGAAAAAGTGGAAGATTTATCATGTCTTCAAAACCACTTTTATTCTATGATGTTGCCAATATATACCATCTGTGAATGTAAATATGTATTAAATGATTACATTACGTGAATGAATCTGAAAACTGGAGGAAAAAAATCATCACGATTTCCACTAAATTTTGTAAATATTTCCCCTGTACAAACAGTGTACATGTATATGTATGTACCGGTAAGTACTGTTCGGTCTTGTAATTCCACGATACCATCTTGTTTGACCTGTAAGATACCAAGGCCTGATTTTATGGGATAGATTAAACTGCCTATACCCAACATGTACTGTTTATCAATTAAAGAAAAATCCCAAATCCAGTCTACCACTGCACAGTGCTACTGAGTGGCACTTATGATATTTATCTGTTTTGCAAAATGGTGGACGATGAAACACAAGGACCATTTGTTCTGAAAGAAAAAGATTTACATGTATACAGGTATTGTATGAAAAAATTCATTCAAATTCAAACAATGGTAAGAATTATTTCATTCATTTTGAAACACTTCCAAAATCATGAAAATGCACTGATTTACAGCAATTGCCATGGTACTGGTAGGCAAGTTATATACGAATATACCATAATGCACATACATGTACAACACTCATAAGCCTACAAGTGAATAAATTAGTAAGGTTTCAGCCCACAAAACGCTTGTGTTAACCTTGTGTCAGGGCCCTGTATCGACGGAGTTGAGCACGTCATGAGCTATGATGTACGTACAAATAGACCCGTAAACAGGGCCTTATCAGTACTATACTAGCCTACAGGTACATCATGTACATTGCGTATCAAGGGAATAGGCCTTGGCCTATATGTAAGGCCCTGCTTGAACGAAGTACATACATTTCAGAGATATATATACAATCATACATGTACGTATGAAGCCAAAGCACGGTGGTTGTGTTTGTATTGCGCATGTCGAATGTGTATTAGACTCACGTTACAGCCGTTCATCGGTATATCAACAGTAAAAATACCCCAACTGGTGTGAATTGGGGTAGGCCTAGTCAAGCAGTTATACTTATAGCATGTTTTGTGATGAATGGGGTGTGGGTTCAAATCCTAGGTCGAAATTGTGGACAGGGAGGTTTTTTCCAGGAAAATAAAGCCTGAATGTTATAGGAGCCTAAGATTTTATGGTTGGTTGAACATAAAATGATCTAGATGTCATGCATTGTGCATGGTTGTGAACCGCGGTTTGACTTCATACGTGCACTTGCATAGGCCTATATAGCTCATATTTCACACAGGCGTCAGTCAACTTCCAACGTTCTGAAGGAACAAGACTCGTCATGCAGCACTCTATCTTGACTGCGTTTCCTTCATTGTCAGTGAATGGTAGACCTATGGGTCATATGGGAAACACATATTGTTTCAAACCCAAGCATATCAGAGGCCTTACTTACCTTTCAGACACCCAACAACATGTGCCTTCGAAAGTTCTTTCCTAGACTCCAAAAAACCGCTTTCAACTTCCAGTCTGGTGAGGCCAAAACATCAATTAACATGACTAACTACAATCGTCGTCTGTAATATATAGAGGGCGCTATTACCTTTTCCAGATGTAAAACTGGTCTAGACCACGGACGTCATATAAATATATGACGTCCGTGGTCTAGACTCGGTGGTCTCCGTAAGACTTAATTAAGGAGAACAAAAAGTGCCATCTGCATTTAATTAACAACATGTTACCAAGACGGCCGAAGTGGGCATTTATCAATACATCTTAGGAGGCAATATCATTCTCTTTTGCCACACAAGGCGCTGCTAATTAAAAGAACACAAGAAATAGTATAAAACTGTCATTCAAAACAAAATATCTCTCAACAAAGATTTGAAGAAATAGTGGCCATGATATTCTCCAAACAAACTACTACGCATGATACACAAGTAAAAATGGGAACTTCCTCCCAAAACATGTAGATTTAAGTGCGATATTTGTACACAAAGCTATGGAGCCACTACTGTTTTACCTTGGATGGCATTCACACTTAAGCCTAGGAAAATTTCATTAGTGTAAAAACAGACTGTTGGGCCTAATTTTTCTCCCTTTTATGGTCACAAAGGAGATGGAAAGTCTTTACAAGAAAGCTCTCTATACAGAGTGGAGTCACAAAAATCTTCAGATTTCATGTCTCCTAGAATCATCCCAAGCATTATGAAGATATTCCTTGCCAGGGATAATGACCCTGAAAAGCAGACGTGAGGACCATCGCCATTTTGCTAATACTCCATTGCAAAAAAAGAGCAATTTGCCTGGTGAAAAGCACCGCTTCGAACAGCATTTTCAGAGTACCATCTGTCAGTCTTGCTGGTTAGCTTCCACTCTACGTGCCACAAAGTTGCTCGAATGGGTCCCGAAATGGATCAAGAGAGGGCGCAATTTTCCTAGCAACAAAGACTCCTTTGGGAGTAATAGTCACTTGAGAACGACTATTAAACGCAACTTGCAGTCGCACGGCTGTTTTCAGCCGATGACTGGTGTTTCTGATTGGGATGGAGGGCAGAGAATTAACGCGATTTAGTCCACGTGTCACTAGGACTGTGCTCTGATTGGCCTCTCTCCTCGTGAAACAACCTGACGGCCATCTTACCCTGCACCCTAAACTCGTTTGTCAGTCGGTAATTAATTCCCTTTTGTTCTCCACATGCTATCCCAGCGGTATTCCTACACACAATTATTTGCCCAGGAACGCTGATTGCCTCATTCCACAGAAGTCGGAACTGGTGCTAAATTAATTACTTATACATTTTATGGCCAAAACATGACCATCTAACAACTTGATTCCAACCACACCTACAAAGTGAAATCTGGAAACATTCTTTCCCACTGTTTTGCTCAAGTGATGCATGGGGATTTTGTTCGTTTGGGAATTCGAGACTAAATCATTCTTCAACTTTGACAATGTAGGCACCAGCGGCGCGTAGGATTCTCAGCCCGGGAGGGAGGGGGGCGGGGGTTTCGCGCTAAAGTGGGGAGGGGAGCTAACTGGATGTTGGACATATACATAATCGTGATCACATCAGGATATACATGTGTGACGTTTCCGAAATACAAGTGGGAGGTGACATTGGGAGCGTGCGGCCACCGCCCCCCCCCGCCACGCCGCTGGTATAAGTACACGCGCGGGTCAAGTAATAAGATGGCACACTCCTCCCATCAGCGGGTTATTATCCATGCACTTGCCTAAAGTAGATTTAACATTGCGTACTCCTCCACTGCTCCCTGTTGGATGCCATGTGCCAGATATGATGATCTTTGATGTTGACTTCCATGGTTGCTAAGTCCATGTTGATTCTTTTCAGCTACATGGTTCGTTGTCCGGCTCTTGGCAGCTTGTTCTAACGGATCGTATCTAGAAGGCTTTGCTTAGCTGCAAGGTGCTATGGCAATGGCAGTCTCGTTAGTTTTTTTGTATTTTTTTTAGGTTTGAGCGTAAATGTCTTTGAAGCAGGTTCTCGTCTCGTGACTTATATTTACTGTCCACATTTCACTGCTGTATTGAAATACTGCTATGAAGGCAAAGACTGTTTTGAGTTTTGTGTTGCTGGAAATTGCATTACTGTTGAAGACATTCCTGAAGTTGTTAAAACATGTCACGGAAAGGGTTTTTCTCTTGGTAATATCTTGCTTGGTGTCGAGTTACGATCTTAAGTATTTACATCTCTTCAAAATGGTGTTGCTTGCGTTTCTGCTGATGAGGTGTTTCTCTGTTTTTAAATCTGTTGTCACTTTCGTTGTTACATCTGCTATACAATAAAATACTTGGCCAAGTATTACAGAATACATTGTAATCCAATCTCAAAGTGCACCGGGTGAACCATTAGACATTGCGTTTGAAGACAGAAACCAATCAAAGCCAATGATTCGAAACTGACATTTGTCCTCATAATGGCAATTCACGGTTCTTGTTAGAAAATACACATCAGACAATATCCCGATTACGAATCGAGTTTTCTGACACTTGACAGCAGCAAGGACAAGGGATTATTTCTCCCCTTAACCATTCACGAGCTCCTGGAACCTCCAAGGCAGGTTGTTTTGTCACATGCACAATGCGTCACCACAGACATAATCCGTTGTTGGATTTAGTTCAAGTTGACAAAGCTTTACATGTACTTGAATTCCCAAGTTAAATAAACGACGGTTAAAAACAGCCCCTCATAAAGAAACCTTGTTTTCGGCAATACTGTCTGCAATATACAAAGAGTGTTGATCAAAACCAAGGTTTTTTGGAAATAACATTTCATAATTTATCCTTGAACAATCCAATCGTTTTATAATCCTCGTCCTTTCGTCACACTAAGGACTAACCGTTAGAAATGATGAGGGAACGCGATTTATAAGCCACATACAAAGTTATTGCAGTGTAGGGATGGTTTTATGTTGCTTATCGGCATGAATTTTGTGTTAAAGAGCACACCGAGGAGTTGTGAATGTCAAATTAGATCTCCAGGAATCAGGCTCGATGTTTCCAATGTGTAGGACATTTTCAAGCGCGGATACGAAAGTTTAAAATAATGTTCTCATTTACCAATGTTCTGTTCCGTATAATCCACTGCACTTGTACTTCACGATTTATCGTTTATTAAAGTTCGATCAGATTTCAACAAACTTGCTTTGAGGCAACAGGTCCTTTATACTACTGTATCGGGTAAAAATCGGCACTCCACTTTCTTCATTGGGGAGTCAGGTTGGCGTAGCCTAGGGGTTCTTTTCTCTCCTTCCACCTCTACAGTCCGGGTTCGAATCCTGGCTTGGTGTACATGTAGATTGGGTTTTCAGTCCCTGATTCCGTGGGTTTTACCCAGAATATTCCTCTGGGGCCCCCCTAAAACTGTAATGCTTCTTATTGTCTCCTCTCTACAGTTTTATCTGGCTTGCGAGCTAGAGTGCCCAGGGCGCTTTTGAGGAATCCTTGGTGCCATTACCAGTCAAAGCCATTGCCTTCCTTCTCGAAATATTACTCCGCAAAAGCCAAAGGCCATAGACCAAGACTTGAAATAGTAATCCTGGATAAAATGCTGATACTATTTAAAAGACTGTTTTCTAAAATATTCTGCCCCTTATAATAAAAAAATCACCCTGTTTAAATGACGGGAAACTTATTCTAAATCTCTAAAACGTGCTACAAATAAGCAGCGAATCATGATTGACTCGACAGACTATTCCAACATCTCCGTTTACCGCGTAGCCGTTTTCAATGGATCGTTTTGAACACGATCGTCTTGTTAAAAGATGTTCAGCTGGCGAGAGTTAATCGATGAGCTAGAAGAGAAATTGTCTCTCCAATTTAAATGAAGCATGAAGAATTCTGCAGTCGATTGGTACTACGACCAACCAACGCAGTCTTCGGCGTGAACTGGATCACCTTCTTCGGGTTGGAGTCCTTTGATATGGTATTTAACTATACAGTACGCAGACCACTGGAAAATCTCGGCTCCCAAGAAGAACCATTTTCGGGGGATAAACAAAACAGGCGAAAAATGCCGGTGTTCATTGGCATCATAGGAAGCAAGATATGAGACGCAGACACCCCCCCTTCGTGTTGGTCATTCTTTCACTGGAATCTGAGGAATTCTTTTCAGACATCTAGGGGGTGTTAGGTAACAATAGTCTAGGGTGTGTATAGAGATTGGACATGTTGAGGGTATACCCTTCGGTCTCATTTCTTGCTAGATATAATTGGCAATGCAAAAATTTTTGCAGTGGCATAAAGATGTTAAAAAGCATTTGAATTATTTCCCAGAGTGCTTTAGACTATGATTCATAGTCGCACATTCTATTTCCAAGCGTCTTTTGAATCTTAAACACCACAGCATAGGGGAAAGGATGCTTGCCATAACGACAAAGAGGCATTTAAAGGAATGAAGTTACCTGGTTAAGAGACAGCTTCTGGAGAAGGAAAGGAGATTCTAATAACTTATCAAAGACTGGAAACTAACGCAACCATATTTGGCTGTGTTTCGTAAGGCGGTATAATTTTTCCATAATGTAATCATGGTCAAAGAATTTCCCGAAGAATTTGTTTTTAAGAAACAGTTTCGTTTCTTTGGCAACGGAGGTCGTGCGCCTTTGCACAAGCAGGTACGATGTGCGATTAGAAAGGAGAAAAAGACTCCGTCAAAAGAGAACAGATACCCAGTAAAGAATGAGCGGCATACGTCATTCGGCGTGGTCTCCCTCCGACAACAAAAGATACAAAGACTAGAGGCCGCCCTGGAATGCAAAGACCATCTCCCACAAAGAAGTGTTACGTAAGTTCGCTCGGAGATGTGGTTAATATAAAGTAACGCAACATCAACTGCGCCAGGGATAATCGCCAGAGCTAAGTAAGACAGGTGCAGGACTTCTGTCTCACATTCCCAGCACTTATATCCAGAAAAACACCTTCAGGGAAACTTACAGAGGAACGTTATATCTAAAAGGTAAGGAAGTTGTGTTTTGTTGGGCCAGCCTACCAGTGCGCTAAAAAATATCTGCATGTCGTGACATATGTTGCATTTGTCCGTTTCTTTAAAACGAATGTACATTTGGGCACAAATCAATTTTTTTCCAGAGGAAAGAAGGCGCTTTTCCATTTTCGACCTAATAATTAGTAATTACAAATATGTTCAACAAACAAAAACTTGGGTGTTAAATGTAACACCCCCGGTGTTATACCCCAACACTTTTCACTGGTGGTAAAAAATTTGGTGTTATTTGGTGTTACCCTCCAGTGCATTGTAACACTTATAGATGTGCAAAGTAACACCAGCAGTGTTAAAGTAACAACCTATGGTATGGCCATCTCATAGCACCAATAAGTGTTGATTTTAACACCTGAGTTTTTACTGTGAACAAACATGGCTCTGAGACTAAGAACAAAGAAGATACGTCGTTTGGTTTGCGATAGATAACATACAGCATGGTCACAAAGTCGTCAACCACAATACTCTTTGTGGTGAGGTGATTATTAGCTTAATGTTGTGGCTTAAGATTTCCTAATTCGTCACTTTCCCTATATAACTACGTTTTTCTAAACCTCGTCAAAACACATGAAAGCCGTCTTTTATACGTTGTATCTTATAACGCAAAACACGGTGTCATCCTTACACAATAAAATAATTCGCCGGTCTCGTCTGATCTGGTCTAAACCGGTTACGACTTAAAGATGCAGTCTTTTATAGGATTAGTCTGAACTGGTTTACCAGAGTCGCACCCACCAACATTTTTCTAGAGACTTGAGATGAGCACACGAGGAGCTCGATGTTTAAAGTGGATTGGAGAAAGACCAACCTGATACAGTCATCGAAACGACTCTAAAAAGCCTTAGTTTCAGGCGTCGCTCTCGACTTAAAACACTCGGCACGTGTGTTGTTGTCACAGTGGCAACAACTGCTTTGTTGTCAGTGAAAAAACTATGATTGAGTTATGTTTGTTAGTGACAAAATATTCGAAGACCAATAGTGCAAGATGGTATGGTCACTGGTCATGACAAGATCGTGGACTTGAAACGAGTCGTCGAGTTTGTCATACTGGCAAGATAAATAAATGTCTTTACAGACACATTGAAGTTCCCTCTGTTTGATCGATAAGACCAACGACAGCTCGGTTGTGGACAGTAGTGCACTGTACATAAATATACCGTAGGTTCGGGGCCCAAATCCCGTCCCGAGCGAGTTTGTGATTTTTATCTCAAGCCCTGGCAAAACACAGAACACGCAATACCAAATATCTGACTGATGAAGAGCAGAACGAACTATTCACACATGTCACGTTATGTTAGTCCGTTCTTATCTTCTTGCATGTAACGTGGATTAAGTGCGTCTGAAGTGTAAAATCAAATCTGTTTGGATCGACTTAATTCTGATCCAGTCTGATCTAGCCAGTCTGAATAGAGTCTGATCTAGCCAGTTTGAATAGAGTTGAAAATACTGGTCTTTAATAGGATTGTGATTCTCATCGAAGATAGCGACGAGGATACATTTTCGATCTCGCACTATCGTTTCCCTTGGAAAACCATTTAAATTTTGAAAATTTTCGACAGTTGTTATATGTCTCCGATCTCCTACAATCGCAACTCTTCAGCAGACCTTTTGAAGTTTAATAATTTCTCAAACTTTCACACCTAATCCAAAATTGAAAGCATCACACTTTAAGCAATAAGGAAATTTAAAAGCAGATCGGTAACATAGATTTTAAAAAATAAAAAAAACCCTCGAATCAATAAAAAGGGATACAGGCATCTGCTTTCGGTAATGTAGGACGCATCGATGTTTCCAGAAATTCAATTTGTCTAGCACTGGATTTGGCAATATATCCATCTCATTCGTGCAGCTGAATGTTATCGGTTTTGGCGTGACATGGTTTATAATGATGTCCCGTGCTATTCATTGTCGAGTCGATCAAACCTTTATGGACGCTAACAATGTTTATCGTTTCCTCATTGGGGACTTAGCAGTAAGTCCGTCAGACCATGGAGGAAGGATAAAGATCCTTCCTTCATGGTCAGACACTAGGGGATTATTAGTAATCAACATCACATCTAAGAGTGGTCATTAAGATTAATGAAGGAAAACAAGATTCTCTCGTCATCTGGTTGAGGCTTGTGAATCTACTTGTACAAAATAGCAGCATCATTAAGGCGCCTTTCCATACGTACGTTTTTGGGTGCGTTGCATACATGTTGCGTTTATGCGTTTCACTTTCATGGACACGAAAATCAGCTCCATTAACACAGCACGCACTGCGTTCGGCCTTCGAAATCGCCCCGAGAGTGCTGCGATTTTGACAGATACGCAACGCTTGGCGCAAGTGTTGACGTGTTTAAACTAAATCGTATAAACTGCGTTATGTCGATTTTTTGTCTAGGCTGATCCTCCTTTCTGCAGCATTTGATAACTCTCACTAACCCTAACAAACAGAGAGCCACGCATCTCCGGGAAGTCTACTTGTGACTAAAGCCCCCTGTACTTTTCACAGGTTGTGGAGGAGGTTACAATGAAGGCACAGCTTACAATTCTCCTAGCTTTGGCAACAGCCGGCTACTCCTTTCGTAAGTATGCTGTAGTGTATTCTCAACACTTTTGGAAATTTAATTCCCAGTGTATTTGTGCGCGGTTGAACAAATTATTTAGTTGATCATTATCTAGCATTTTAAAAATTATGAACCTCATGAAATTTCGTTGAAATACAATTAAGTTGGAGGTCTGAAGTACAGAAACCCTGTTCCGAATTCAACTTCAGTGTTTAAGTTTTGTGCGCAGTGGAGCAAATATCAATGTAAGGAGTGCTCCCCTTCCATATTCTGCACAGGATTGCATACAAGTAGTTTCTTAATGACTGGTCGTGAGGAATAAATTCGTGCAATTTTGATGGAAAACGTGCATCCTGAGCTCTGAAAGTCAAATGTATTATTTGTTATTCTTGAACTCAGGTTCACTAACAGATCCCCATTCTAACCCCTTCAATCAGGCCTGACACTATTTCCGAAACAGGCACATTAACTAGATTCGACATCGTATGAAAATGAACAGGCCTTTATGTTAAATAAAGATATTTCTTTAAAACCGTTTTTTCCCGGTACGCTACTACACCACAGCTCGTCAACAACCATTTTTCTCATGCGCTGTCAGTGGAATTGTTGATATTTCATGCGACAGCAAAGTGTTAAATAGGTTTAACTTCGCGTTTACGGTAGCCACCGAGTTTTACAAAAACTGACGACAAACCTTGGGCCTATCGCGTTGCATCAAAATTTTGGTATTCCACACTTGTTCTTTAAATGAAGAAGTCTACTCAAGTTATTCGAAATCATCCAAAGAGCTGAAGAAGTTCCTCATTGTTAATGCCTCATTGTTAAGTGTGTGATCAACTCGTCGTGATTGACTTGTGATGTACTCGATTTACGCGATTGTTTGTAGTAAAGTCAGTTAAGGGCCTGCCGCGTTCTAGTCGTTTCTGAACAGTTGGCAGCAACAAGGTAAACAGAATAAAAAGGACCTTCATCAGCTGAATACCATGGCATTTCAGCCAAAAAGGAAAGATTCTTCCACTTGATCCTCCATTTATGACAAGGACATATTCCTTTTGGGTGTGAATGAAAACGAACTTCAAACCATGTTCAAACCAAATGAAGTTTGACAGTAAACCTTGGCAGAAACAACACGGCAGGGGCATACGGTCGGCCTTCGTTTTTCATGGCGTTGGTCTGTTAACCGGACAATTCGTCTAATTAGTATGTCACGAAGGAGATTTAGGTCAGAAGAACTGGTAGATTTCCTGGTGTTTGCTCAAGGAAATGCTCACTCTTACCTGTTGACCTTCTCATTGGACACAATCCCATTTCAGTATTGAATTGGAGACCATCACAAGACCTTTCGCAAGACCAGTCACAAATATAGCCTACGGCTTGAATTAAGAGATCTTGTGTTGGTCTGGGATGATGCAGTCTTGCGATGGTCACAAGTGGTCTCGACGACAATACTGGCTGATTGGCATGCACATGATGGATTTTAAGCATTATAACCAGAACTTAAGGCTGTATCCCATCATTTGCAAAAGAAAGGGATTCTGAAATTGGATAGTGCATTGACTCACGACACGCTCATCCTTCCGAAGAAATGGTGACAAATTATGCGAAACGATAAAGGGTGCACATGTACTGAATCGGTGATGAAACTGGAAAGTTATATTTAGAACCAGATGCCGGTAGTGGAATGATTTATGAGGCTTCAATTTCCTGAGGCTTGGCGTCTAAAGCGTATAGCTGTTGAGTTGCAAACAAAAAGTGTTCAGGATAAACGCCTACGCAAGCATGCCCGATATGAGAATGAAGCTCCGCTCGTTGGTATGAAAGGATCTTACAAACCACTTTCCTTTTCCGCAGTCTGCTTCGTTTACTGTCCAATCTTTTCAGAATGCGAATACAATAGCTGGGTGTCCTTCAAGGGATAAAGCCCGACTTCTGTGTCGGGGGTGGGGGGCTTACTGACTTCACCAATGCGAGTAACTTGTGCCAGTCTGGCTGCAGCGACGTAACTGGCAAACAAATTCTACAAAGCATGGTTTCTCTGAATGCAAACATACACTGAGCTCTGGATGCCATACTTTAGAATTTCGACGGAGCCCGACTGAAGAACACATTCATAGATCATTTGCGCTGACGTCACGAAAAGGCTTTATACACGTTATTTTGACGTGACGTCAAGCCGAGTTCGATGCGCTGCACACAAGTTACTGGCTGAAAACAGTAGCATCTTTCAAATACTTTCGCATGTGCTTCTCAATCCATAAAAAGACACAATTAGCTTCACAAACCATTGGAGACTATTCAAGATCCCGAACGTCTTTGTTGAACTTAATGAAAACATCACCCCACAATGATTTCTTCTTGACACCTGCCTTGGCTTCACAGCTTCTGGCAGCTCGACCGGCTCCGCATGTAACCCCAACCCTTGCTTCAACGGTGGCACCTGCATGGATATGGGAGTGATGTACATATGTGTCTGCGAAAGTGGATACCTTGGGGCACAGTGTGAAACTCGTGAAACTGCAGGTAAGTGGTACGACTGAGTTGTGCAATTCCTGCCAGTTCGGTACTCCGACAGCGCATGCTTAAAATGAAGCGCGTCCGAGGTCTGCCCAATCAGTACCGCCTTTCTCAGACTCAAGCGCATGCTTCGTTCTCGAATAGCCTTGATGTATACCGAACTGACTTTTTGACATGAACTTTATAAATGTCGCGAAATTTGGTATATTATGTCGAGGTTTGTATGAGACGTTACAATCCGCAAGGGAACCAGGACTGCAATCGAAATATCAGATGAAAAAAATGTGCAGCATCCGAGATAATGGGAAAATCCCAGGATGATATTCCAGGGAAAACTCAAGGAATCAGGTTGGGACTGTAAACTCGATTCATATGTCAGTCTGAATGTGATTCAAACCCGGGACACAAGGGTGGAAGGTTTTAAGAATACTTCACCAAAATGACTTATACACACTGAAAAATTGCCTGGGCTACATTTTAACCCACGGGAGGGTGAAAACTGCCACTCTGCAAAATGGGTTGTTTAAATTAATTACTGGTTCATTTCTCACCCACAAATGAATTAAAATTAACCATATGTTTGTTAAAACAAACCAGAAATTAATTTTAACCACTAAAATTTTTGACAGAGCCAGCAGTTGGGTTGTTGCAGTTTTCACCCTTCCTTAGATTAAAATTTAACCCAGGAGTAATTTTTCAGTGCACAAAAGTAAATATCTTTGAATTCAATCCTCATTCAAAAGCAAAAAAAAAAAATTACCATTACAGTGGCTGTTGTAGATGAGGACCCGTGTGCGTCCAGTCCATGTCTTAACGATGGGCTGTGTTTTCGTCAGGATCGCTGGGGGACGAGCGATAGACTCTTTCGCTGCGTCTGTCGGGGAGATTTCACGGGCGCCCTCTGTGGTACGGCGTGGTATTTCTTCGGCTCACACTACATTTTCGCTTGTCACTAGATAGCGCCATGATGTCAGCACTTTTCTTCATCCACTTTCATTCATGTTCGTCATTGGTGATTTTTACTTATAGGCACTGGAGCATCATGGCAAAAGGGCACTCATCTAGTGTATGCACTTGCACGTTGGATGTATTTTCAAACACATCAGCCCCTTTCGAACATTCCACTGGCATGCTGACGTTTCACTCCATTCTCATCCATGAAAAACGCATTTGTAGCATCTTTCACGTAGTTTCTCGTCAATTCATGACTCCATTGTTTCTTCCCTTGCACTGTCGACCTTCAAAAGCGTTCTTTTCAATTTTTATCAGAGCGCTAATTTTACAGGTAGTTCATTTCGATAATAAATGTCAGAAGCAGCCTGTACATTTGATTCTGCTTGTAAAAGTCTGGGTGTTCGAGTGCAATCTTCTTTGCAGATTAGCAATTTAAGTTAAGACACTTGTGTGGGAACCTTCATCAGCTCCTATTGCTGTGCCCTGAATTGACTGCGAATATGAAAGTTGAAAACAACACATGCCAGAAAAATTTGGTCCTCCATTTCCAAGTACATGATGCATTTTACATGTCTCAATATGCACTCACTAACTTGCTACGCACAGGTTGCACCCGCTTTCCTCGGCTGATTGTGTTTTTCATGTATAAGCTCGTTCCTTGAGGAATGACTTGGCTGCACAAGACCACCGTCCCTTTCGAACATTTTGTCATCAGCGCAACGACGAAGTATCCCTTTTCACTAATCTTTTTCGCATGGAATGTTACTTGCTAACAGATGCACAACTCGTGTCGTCGGCCTGCGACGTCAACCCGTGCCAGAACCAAGGATCTTGTGAACTCAATGCCGACTCGGAGTCTGGATACGTGTGTCGATGTGCCGACTTTTTCGGCGGAACGAATTGCGAAATAAGTAAGCAATGTCAAATCAAGTTGTATAGCAGTATATCTTTTGTTTGTCTGATAAGTTATTAGTTTGTGTGTGTGTGTGTCTCCAACACAAAACTCTTGTGACAATCGAACTGGAATGAACAGATGTTATTCAGAACATTTTATAACATCCAGACCGCTACGGCTTTACTTCAGGTAGTCCTATTTATACATGCATCTGAGACTTGAATCGAGAAAAGAAACTTAACAACCTCGACAAACGAGTCTTGGCTAGCATTATACCATTCCAACTCTTCTATTTGTGTTCTGACAGTGCCATGTGATCAGAATCCCTGCCTCAACGGTGGTGATTGCTTTTCGGGATACAGGAACAGAGGTGACTTCATGTGCAGATGCCCAAGAGGCTTTAAAGGAGAACACTGTGAAGTCTCTGGTGAGTGTGGTGGTCTGATGTTCATATCCCCTCTGGTTTACTTCTTTATAAATGTACTTAATATATCATAAGTAAGCACCAAGTATGTTTTCCCGTGTGACTAGCTAACAAAAGTGGTCATGTTTGACATTTCCTGGTGAATTTGTAAGACAACTTAAACTGCCTGGGAGCTCTGATATTTTCCTGCACTATCATTGAATTTTTTGTCCTTAATACTGACGTCTTGACGTTTGACAAGATTTTGTCTACTCCTCAATGTTTTTCAAAGAACCTATCATAGGCCCCCTATATCAAATCAACCAACGTCACTTGAGCTGGCTATGTCTCTGGAGATTGTCTCGGGTATAAAATATAATCCTATATCAAGTTAAGTGGCTGAAGATGTTCACACCTCAAACAGGCATTTGGATAAAAATACTTCCAATGAAAAAATTGTCTTGTAGTATGTACTCTTTCTTGTCTACCAACTGTCCGGTTAAGTTGAAATCCCAGCACAAGAGTCTTACTCCAATTTGCTCCCTTTTCCTTTTTATTGGAACTATTTTACAGATCCATGCATGGACAATCCGTGTGGGGAAGGAAACTTGTGCATCCAGGGTACAGACAACAGCTTCAGCTGCATGTGCCCATGTGCCGCCGGAAGCACCTGCCAGAGCGAAGGTGAGCTGAACTCTGATCTTGTTGTCTACTGAGTCTACGCCGTTTACTGCTTGAAATTGCTAAGAGCTAGTTCGAGTGACGATTACTTGTCAACCACCTGTCTATTTTGCCTAGTGCCCGGGTTACCAGAGAAAATCGACAAGTGGTCGACCCATTGTCGCTGCTCGAACTTTCTCGAAACTGACAATAAACATATGACGTAGAACTTCTGGACAATCTTGCAAAGTGGAAAATAGCTGGGGTCTACTCTCGGTATAAGACGACATGCCTGTGATGGATTATAGCTGTGGACTTGTCCGGCAATCGATTGCACTTACCACCCTAAACTCATTTCAGATGTCTGAATATGCAAAAGTGGATTAAAAGTAATGTAGATGATGATGGTGTCTGTTCGATCAGTTTGTTAGCTCTTTGGGTTACAAGGACGGCTGGGTGGGCGTTGGTGTCATATTTGGCCATCTGTGTTATCTGATTATCCCATAGGGAATGCAGGGACAAGTGGAGGAGATACCGACAGTGGATCATCGGGAGCTGAGACTGGTGGTAATGGCGACAGCGGTGACAATGGCGACAGCGGTGACAATGGCGACAGCGGTGACAATGGTGACAGCGGTGGTAATGGCAACAGCGGAGACAGCAGTGGTACTGTTGATAACAGTGGGGGGAATACAATCCCTCAGGTTGGTGGGGGTGGGTTGAATGGGGGTTCAGGTGGAGGGTCTTCATCGGGTGGGCCTGAAGCTACCCTACCATGCACCCGTATGATGCAAGAAACAGGTAACTGCAGCAACCACGGGTACTGCGTTGAAGACAACACTGGGGCCACTTGCCGTTGTGATAATGGGTACCGTGGGCCAAGATGTGAGCAAGAGGATAGTGGCAATCCAGAGAGTGGTGGGAGTGGTCAATCGGGTGATTCTGGTTCCAGCGGTCAATCGGGTGATTCTAGTTCCAGTGGTCAATCGGGTGATTCTGGTTCCAGCGGTCAATCGGGTGATTCTAGTTCCAGTGGTCAATCGGGCGATTCTGGTTCCAGCAGTCAATCAGGTGATTCTGGTTCCAGTGGTCAATCTGGTGATTCTAGTTCCAGCGGTCAATCAGGGGATTCGGGGTCTAGTGGCACCGTTACCAGGCCGTGTGTTGAAATGATGGAACAAACCGAGTACTGTAACGGTCGCGGATACTGCGTTGAGGACGGTACCAGTGCATTCTGTCGTTGCTACAACGGCTTCCGAGGCTCCACCTGTCAGCTTGTGGATGATCCTAGTTCAGGAACCGCCTCGGACGGGGATTCTGGTAACACCGATACTGGTTCTGAGACTGGCTCAGGAAATACCCTACCTCAGGTCGGCCAAGGATCCGGTAGTGGTAGTCAAGGCTCGGGTTCTTTAAGGAATACCAAACCGTGTGTGGCTATGATGCGGGAGACAAATAACTGCACGAACAATCAAGGGTACTGTATTGAAGACATTCACGGTGCGCTGTGCTATTGCCATCGTGGCTTTCAAGGTGCTGTCTGTGATGAACGCACTGAAGGCTAAAGTTGCAGTCACAAGGAACTCAACTTTTACATATCATTAACACTGTCCTTGATGGTTACACCTGTGTCTATCGTTCGCTGTACATGTATTTAGTACTAATGCTTCACAGACATGGGGATGGGGGAGGGGCCTGCAGTTTTCATGTTAATGAAGAAATTGTATAATTTAATACATTGACATTATCTGGGAACAAATTAATCTAAGAAAGATTAGCCTATGAAATACAAGTACATGCAGATGTTATGCAAAAAAATGCTTAGGTTTGAAATGTTGCATGATAGATTGATATGAGATTTATATATGTACATCAAAAGTTATTGTGTTAAATTGGTGTTAATTTGATGTTCCTGGAAGCTATGATGGCCTAAATCATATCAAGGACCTAACCAAATGTGCCAACATATAGACTCCAAGGGTGTTAAGATTACACAACAGTGTTTGCAGTGAGTTAATGGAAAGGCCCCATGAAACGACTATGACGGGAATTAATTTTGCAGGATTCGACTTTTAGCTGGGTAATTGCTTTACCTTCACGAGGCAGAATTCTCTACTAAACTTTCGCTAACACTAAGAAACTTGATTATTATTTGGGGTGGGGGGTGCAGGAGATATGCCCTCCCGTCTTCAGCAGATGACGAACTTAAGTTCCAGGAACACTTTTTGGGCATATAGTTAACGAACAATTCTAACCAAAAATCATGCCTCTGCCTCTTCCGCGTCTTGTTTTGATTTTTAAAGTTTTAATTTCCCTGCCGGCAGGAAAGAAGTCTATAACTTTTTATATCATAGATGTTGTGTTCATTCTTTATGCGGTGTGGTAAAGGCATATATATGAATATTATTCTGTACTTCATACTAATCAGTTGGCATGTAAAATACGTACATCTATTAGTTAACAGTATAACATGTTAAATAAGAAATGGACTTTCATCTTACCTTTAAACTGAAGATAAATAAGTCCAAAGAAAACTTGACTGGGAGCCATTTATAAGATGGAACGTTATACTCCAGAGTGACTTTTCACTGCAAACTTCTGGAGTGTATGTAGTTGATGATACATGATGATTAATATGGAATAATGGTTCTTGCTTCTATTACTCTATGATTCAGAATAAAATATAGTAAAGACGCAAAAGATTGGTCAATAACTTGAATATAATTGTATTTGTGCTCATTTCGTCTCATGTTGTGTCTTGTTTGTGTGCTTGTTTCCAGTGTCGTCCACTGTTCGTTTCCTTATCTTCAACACACAGTACTTCATTATCAATCATATATTCCAGCCTCTTACTTAGAGGGAAGAAACAAGTGAGACCGATGTGTGTGAAACAACTGCAATTAACAGGTCGTTATGCCGTTCAGATTCACAAAATAACAAGTTCGCGGCGCTCCTGTGGTTAGCGCTCTTGACCTGGAAGCCGGAGGTCGTGAGTTCGAATCCCGACTTTAAAAAGTTTGAATTTTTTTACACCTTTTCAAAACAGATAATTGATCAGTATATTTTGAGTCACGTGGTTACTAACTTGAATCCGTTTACAATTCGCATAGTAAATGCACATTGCCCATCAACAGTTACACCGCATTAGTCCATTCCGTGTCAGCACAGCTGAATCAATATTGTGAAACTACCTGCCTCTAGCCAAATTCTTTTTAGTTTTTTTTCAAAAAATACGCCGCAGCGGAGACCTTGACACACTTGATTAAGGCCGGCGAGTTAGCCTTTGTAAAAGGAGCGTTATGGTCCTGCTGTTGTCCCGTACAGATCCATGTCCCGCTGATAATTGCTTGTCATGGCGTACCAATTCATGAAGTGCAGTTACAATAGTGCCCGATCACAACAGCAGGCAAACACCAAGACCTAAACATTTGAACCGCCAGGCACCGGGAGTGACTTTACAAACTTCAGGGTGCAACATCAAGTTTGGCCCAAGTACATGTACATGTACTTCAAATAAGGCCATACGGTGGAATTTTTAAGTTCTCACAACTGTACCTTTCCATTCCATTTTATCTTGTAATTTTCCTGAGAAAAAGTACGAGTCATATTAAGGACGAAACCTCGTTGAATGTTGAAATATTTATCAGCACCAAATTCACAAGAGGTTTGGACATTTTGACATCCGAAGTTTCCTTTGGGTGACTCTTTCTGGTTTCAGTATACAGGACAAGTAGGCCTAGGTCACTAAGCAAACTTTTTCAATGAGCAAACTTTGATTCAGAATGAACAGAAACCCTCACAATTACTGACGTCTTCTTCTATTGATATTACATCAGGAAAAGCTTGAAACATGTTACCCTGTGCACTGTTTCAATTTGTGTAATAGGTGTATTTAATGTACGGTTTGAATTGCCAAATGGGTAACGATAATCTGTATTTTGTCATTTGCATGGGTACAATAAATGAGATTTGATTTTCGAATATTTAACAGGCATGTTTCAATAATACCTTTTTAAGAGATGTCGAGTAAATTCTCCACATTAAAGGTGGAAAAGGCTAAAAAAAATGTTCTCATTAAATGTGTCTCCCAAATTAATGTCGTGGACCCTACACAACAGAAACTATGTAACACTAAAGCTTGATATTCAGACTCCATAAGCTGTGCAATGCTTCAAGGACGCCTCGTATAATTAAGGGAACGAGTTTGAATAAGAGTATGGTTCTATGATTGCAAATATGGCCATACATCTAGGCCACCATCATCATGGCCAAATATGGCTATACATACATACATCATCATCATAGACAGATGGAGGAAGAAAAAGACAGGCAGACCGACTGCCCGACAGACAGGTCACATTCAACAAACCCAGCAACTAACTGAACCAGCAAGTGCGTCAGCAAACAGCGTGATGACGGAGACGCTAAAACTTCCATCTTGTGTACGTTCGTGCCAACTTCAAACTTCCACATTTCACCACAAAGCATCAAATTCCTTGTTCCAGTTTACAATGCACCGGCATACCTTTCGCGGTTTCTCTTGCGGATATTATCAAAGGTGTTAACGGAATATGGTTCGATGGACTTTCGCTTGCCATTTCTCACGCGGCGCACACTATCCATTGGGTAATATTAAAAGTAAAGCAAATTAAAGCCAAGTCATCGACAGCTTGTACTCAGACAATTAAATGCAAATCTTCATTTTGTTTCGTGAAGATGAAAGGTTTTAGCAGTGCGCGTAAGGGCAGGTAAACAAAGTTGCAGATAAATTCTTCCAGAATTCTTGCAGGTAGACAAGGACCTCAAAAGGATCACCAAGAAGATACGAATTATACAAGGAAAGACTGAAAGGGTTTCTATATTCAACATACAAATAAATCACCGAGGGACCTTAATTCTCAGGAGCTTACCCGTCACTAAATATGAAATACTTCCCCAAATGCTTTCGAAATTAGTGATTGGTTTGTTCAAGTTTAGATAGCCTACTTACAGAATTACCTTTGACCAGAATGGAGGGAATTCGACAGAAAGTCCGGAGAACTTCATGGATGTCCTAAAAATCACACAAAAGTAGCAAACAATAGGGTCTACAGACTCTTTCTCACACAACCATGAATATACTAAGGTATTTTATTGGTTGAAAAAAACCGATCCGGCTTGAACGGTGGGTTGTTCATTAAAACGTTACAATGGCAGGGCGTGGTGAAATAACACGGTGGGGCCAGGGTTGCTTTGGCCTTGAATTTGGAACGGTTGGAGTTTTTCAATGATGAACAGGAAAACGTGAGGTTCACTTGCCAGGCACCTGTATTTCTAAAGATTTGATTTTGATCAGGTTGTCGGATTATACAGGCGCTTGTCCAAGAAGACAGACACAGATGCATCTTCAAAACTGCTCGGAAATCAAACAACCCTCCAAACTAACATTGATTTGATAATGTCCTTAAAAATCAACACATCGCTCCTTTGGTGAAGATCCTGATATAACTGACAATTCAGATAATGGAAAGGCGGTGACTGAGGGGATACACAGAGAGAGTAAGAACGTCACGACATAGGAGACGCAGTATATTTCAATGGTTACTAAAGAGCTCTGTAAGAAAACTACGGGTGCAGTGTCCCAATTCAAGGAAAATTCTCCGCCAGACAGAGACGCACAAAAAGTACTCCCCCCCAGAGATTGTTTCGAAAAGAGGNTCATTTGAAAAATGGCCGCTGGGAAGGCTTGGCAACATTCACTTTTTGGGGGGTGAGTTTGTTTTGGGCGGATAATTAAAAAATTCATTGGTTACCTACTAAAAATTGAAAATCAAATGAAATCTGAAGGACCAAACAACACATTATTTTTTGTTTGAGAGGACTCAGGGACTTAAGTTGCCTGCTATGGGGTTCCAAACTTGGTTGATTTTACACTATTTTCAAAGGAGCTTGAATTGGTTCAGTGCACCCTACATGAAAACAGGTGCACGGCAGGCTGTGTTGGCGTGCGCGGACCTCGATGAACTTGTGATACGTGCACATAAGCACGGTCAACCTCGGTGGACTTTTCACACCGACAATGGAAGACGAAATAATTATGCCATGTGACCACCACAGCAAACTAGCAAAGATAATGATGACGTAGGTCAGCGGAGGGACAACTTGTTTCAGAACTGGAAGATCCCCGTCATCAGTATTAAACCTATATACATGTATCGTGTTATCGCGTAGAGAGTTATTTACTGAGGCAAATGAAATCAAAGGAAATGAACAGATTGTTACTGAAGAAAGAAAACCTAGGAATTTTTTGATAAGTAAGGGGTGTTACTGATGTCATGACAGAAATACGCCAAACATGTGTTAACGCCTCATCAAATTTCGAGGCAGCAAGATACCTGAAGGCACAACCACAGATCGGTGCAATATTCCCCTTGCCAGTTTGATTCAACCAGTCCCTTACCTTGAAAAGATAAAAAGTGAAAGGGTGTGCGTACGTGTACGTCACAATAGCACGAGAGAGAGGGGGGGTATTGACAATATAATAAAGGGGTCTTTTCATGAAAAGAATTTTTGCTTTTGTAAAGGACCAGCTATGCTAGTTGACCACTTCAGGTATAAAAGCAGAGGAAAAGTGTGCGTGTCTAAAAAATGCAACTGCAACAGCGCCTGAAGAGCACCTGCTGCAGCCAGGATACCCTATAAACTATACAGGATACCGATCCTAAAAATATAAGGTAAGATTTATCACGTCATTTCTACAGAACGTTCACAAACTACTCTTAGATATTAAATGAAGTATAGGTTATAATGACAAACGATGGTGAACTTGACTGTCGAGAAACTAAATATTGGAATGAGTCTTTGGTGCACTTTCACTTTATTTTTACCGGTCATGGATTTGACAAATATTACAAAAAAATGCAATGCACACGCCATGTGTGCAGTGTAAAGAAAATAACAATATCAGTTAAATATGATCACCAAACCTGTTTACTCCAACAATAAATGTGGATATTGTGGAAAGGTTGCCCTTTTAAAGTTCTAAGCGAATAACCTAGCTCACAAGTTTTGTGCTAGATCAAATAACATCATCGGATGCAGTTATTGACAATAATATGATGTTGTAAAACCATTTATCATATGTTAGAGATAACATTTAGATGACTTAGGGGCAATCTGGGTTTTGCTTGCCCTTTTTCGTTTAAGATTTCGCGAGGACTCTAATAACGTCTTTAATTGCCTCAGTCAATTTAGCTTTGTGGTTATCCCTATTTTTAACAAGTACAGAGTCGGTCATTTTTGATTTAATGTGTCAACTGTTGGAATTCAAAGTAAATGTGATTTGATCCACTGCAGAAATTTCAAGTCTCCTTCGACTGTTGTAGGGGTTACAATATCTATTTGATTCTCAATAATAGCAAATTTATACCAATGTATATCTACAGTTTACCAAGGAAACAGAAACCTGGTTGTCTTCCGAAGTATGGATGCATACAGCAACTGCTGTTATATCCTGTATCACAACAAAGTATAGTTATGCAAATTTTGTTTCGCCATCTTGTTATGAAGAAAAATATTCTTGACGGTATATAAACTTGTATACCGCTTGTGCCTCCAAACCGCAAACCAAACGAATTTCGTGAGTACTTTATGGTGATCATGGAAGTAATTTGTGGTCACAGTGTCTCGACTCCTTTATACATTCCAGAATAATTTCCTGTAACGCCTTTCGCAATGCGTTATTTACTTGTAAGCATGTCCCTGATGTCATTGTGACGTAGTAGGAGTTTGCAGAAATCGTTGTTTTGGTAGAATTGAAACTACCGGTATAGTTGGTCGTTACTTAGTCTTTCCCATACAGTGGTTTTGGAGTATAAAGTCACCTCACCTCCGCACTCGCAATTCTGTAAAAATGACCTCGCAAATGAATAAGGGAATTTTCTTATCAAAGAAAGCGGGAGCTTGCAAAATAAGCTTTAGTTAAAATGCTCCAGGATATGGGTTGATTCCTCTGACACTGTACCGATGGGCATCGGAGGAGAGCAAAACTTATTTGGTTCTTTTGAAAAAATAAATAAAAGCCAAAGGGTCCTAAGGCAGTCAACGAACGTTTCTACGCTAATGTTATTCACTGTCTTAAGACGATATTTTATTTGTCACTTTGTTTTGAGATCTTTTTAGTATTTCGTCTTTCCCGAGATTTCATGACAAGGCCGAACATAACCGCCTGTGCGCCGCAGCCATAGCGGCGCACTATACACCAAATCTCCCTGGGTTTGACAGCCTGCGCCCAGCGGGTTTAAGTGGGTCAGTCGAGGTCGTACACCGGACTCAAAGTATGCAACAACCCAAGACGCTTTTCCCCAAATGTTTTGCCTTTTTTCCGGTGGTTGTTTGACATTAGGATGACAAATAACTCCGGGTTTCAAAGAGGAAAAATAAAACTTCAACGTTTTTTTCCCACATTCAGATCAAAGTCAAACTGACTTGCTGACTTCTTCCTTGCTGTACTCCTAGTTTAACTCCAACCCAAGATCACAATGGAGAAATTTTTTCCAGCCCCCAATCAGTGTGACTTTGGGCGGCAACTATACCAGGGGCAGATCTAGGAATTTTTCCGGGGGGGGGGGGGTTCGGCCGGAGATTTTTTTTTAATGTCTCGTTTTTGCGGACAAGTAGTGAAACATTACATGACATACATTGTTAACAATAGTATTGGTTCACTTACTCGAGTTTTTTCGTTATAATTCCCCTCCCTTTTTTTAAAAACTTTTTTGTCGGGGGGTTCGACCCCCAATCCCTGGATCTGCGTCTGTACACGGTTCTACAAGTAGTTCTGGTTTACAACACTAGCCCGTATTATTTGCATGCTGTGGCAAAACGTATTTTAATCTCCATCAAAAAGTGACTGAAAAAGCTCGAGCCTTGTTGGGGCTCCGTAAAGTTTGCTGTGACAAAGGCAGTTATTTGGCAGTAAAAGGTCGTTGAAAACGAGGACTTTACAAACAAAGGAACGTGGTTTGAGGTCGAAAAACCCTCTGCATTTTTGGCCTTTTTTCTTTTGAGAGATTAGTTTTGGGTTGACAGATTTTAAATGCCGCTATACTGCAATATACTTGTAGTATTTTTCAGGCTAGGAACATTTCGTTGGTCCATGAAGATGCAGCATACATGAGCGTTACCTAAACAAATGGAGATAAGTTTCGGAGATCTCCTTAGGGCCTACCCGTGTAAAGAATGGTATAGCTTGAAGTAAAACATACTTCCTGACAAAAAAGTCACAAGTGGCCCTTTTTGTGATAGCACTTCTTTGTAATTTAAAACTTAATTCCACTTCTTTGTATTTCAACGTTTTATAAATTGGTATTGAATAAACTGGGATGGTACAAATCGGTTATAAAATGATGGCCTATTTAGCAAGATGACCCATACAGATGTACAGGACACTAAGCTGACCTCAAGGGTAGATCGAGGGGGGGGGACACGTGGGCCATGCCCCCCTAATTGAAGGGAAAAAAAGATGAGAATTTTTGCAATCTATTAGAGTGAATATAATAAGTTTAAATTGAAGTTGTCTTGTATGGACAGAGCCATTTTTGTTCAGGAAATTGTTTCTGAGCAGCTGCTTAATTGTAATTGGTGCGATCAGATTATGCAAATGCTGCTTAAATGTTTTTGCTCCCCCCAAGAAATGGGTCTGTATCCCCCTTTGTTGAGAGGGTAACAATTTGCGTTCGAAGTATTTGACACCTGTCCAAATCCAGAATACCCTGCTTTTCGCCAAAAATTTAGCTGAGAGTAGTGGTTAAATGAAAATTGTTCTCTATTTTATAACGAGAGAAAACAGATTTGGGACTAATACACCGTGTTCAGAATAGATTCGACTGACTGTCTCAGGCTACTGGCTACTTGAAATAATAGATGTAAACAGCAAGCCCGTTCAATTTAGAGAGGCAGGTAATTTGTGTTTTCTTAATTATTTTGTGCAACGATCCGTGAATCCCTTTGTAAGTCGTTTTACTTGTTTTGGATCATTAGTTTTCCAGTAATCGAGTTCAAATATGCATCTATTGCCAAAATGATAATTGTTTATCAAGACTAATGGGGAAAATGTGAAAGCCATGAATAAGCATTTTTACTGGATCCGTGGAACGTCGAAAAAATTCAATCATTTTTTCGCGGATAACAAGTGTTGCAATGTCACTGATCTTTATTGTAGAAAGAAGTGTTTATACCGCAACAAGAATTTAAAAAGAATAAACATAAGTCGGGTCATTAACAAAAGGTGGATTGTCATTAAGTAGTTTCACTTTTCCTCATTTTGAAACACACTTAAAATTTGAATGCGACAATGTCATGTTTGTTGAATCATGCTCCACATTTAAACTGTTTTGAATCCACATTTTTCTTCGCAACATACCCCAGCTGACAAATTTCTATTCCTTGGGTTTATAACAAAGATTAAACAAATTAGTCTCGTCAAGAAATCCAAAAGTGTCAACATATCTCCCGCAAGAGAATCTGTTTGCATAATTTATGCTGTAGTACACATGATTAGCTTCATTCAAAGCTTGACCCGACCGCTTGACCCCACCTCGTGACACGCCCCATCCTTGGCAATTTAACAATTTATCCCTTCATTTATCCAGTACTCCGGGGGATATGCTCAGTTGGTTAGCATCCCGTTTTCTATCCAGGGATTTGAACTGTCAACAACACTTACCAAATAGATAATTTTGACTCCCCTTAGTGCAATATTAGTATGTTCCATTACGACTGGTCATTGGTGTGTTTTTAGAATAATATTTTGTGAAGTACATGTATTCAAATCTGTGGTTTTTGATGGGAAATTTTTTTAGGAATGTGACATATATGTCTGTCCATTTTACCTTTTAATTAACTTTGTATTGATGGATTGTAATTGTAACGTGTTGGTTATTTTCTTATCAGTGAACCTCGTTTGCTTCGATTTTTTTTAAACTGTTGTAATTTTCACCGTAAATTGGCCTTTGGCCACGAGAGTGAAAACTAAATTAACAATAAACTATAATAAACACTGTCCGAGTCAGTCACACGTCGGGTCTGAAGTAAATAACATGGGATAGACAAAGATACAAATAGAAATTTCAGTACAGCTTTTGATTTGACATTAGATTTATTGCTCGGGATGGATTTGTGAGGACTTGTAATGAAGCAGGTCCTTACTGTTTGTGTGGCCATCAACCATGCAGCTTTCCCAACAGATAGTTTGGATTAATTTTTAAGTACTTAGAGAGCTTAACGATAGGACCGTCACAATTATACATTTTACAAATTCATTAAACGTGTCTATTCTGCCGGTCTAATTTGGGTGTGTGGAAGACCGTGACCACATTCCTCATGCTGCAAACAAATTAAATCCCCAAATCGCTGCTACAACCAAATACAAAGAATTAATGATTTAATATATAATTTAAAAAAAGATTTGTTTATATCTGAAGTAGCAGAGCAAGGGATCATTTTCAGTGCTCGCCTGCTGGTTTGTATTTTGAAACACGTTTACTTCAGTTTAAGTTCAGCTTGGTAGTACACATTGTGCTTTCGACACTTGCTAGTGTTGCTTTTGATACTAATAGTCGACAGTAGGCCGCGTCGGAAATCAACTGGCTGCTGCCGGTAAAAGTACACTCATCAATGGGAAGTAGCCAGAGCCGCGAGCGGGTGGGTTCATAGTGGCTTTTTCATTATTTCGGAATTATAAATGATTCTTTTCACCAACTACTTCAGGTCTTTTTGGAGAAAACGTTATTATCAATTACATGTACGTTTACTATCCTTTACATATTTCCACAGATTTACTTTGGTTGGAAGCATCGTCATCGCAACACAATGAAAACGCAAGTTAAGCAACTTGGCCTTATGCTAGTAGTTGTTGCAATCCACCAACTTGCAAGTAAGAAATGTGGATTTAGTTGTGAAATTTCAATCCTCCATTGATATTGCAACATCATTTGTCATTTTAGTTTCTTTGTTTGATTTTTCGTTGTTATCTGCTCTGCTAGGAAACAGATACAAAATTTGAGATTATGATGCAAGATCGACAACTCTATAAAGGGACACTTTGGCACTGATGATTGACAAAAGATGACAATAACGACGACTATGGTCTTGACTAATAATTGTGAAGATTTCACTGACAGAGACATTGATTTCAATGAAATTGATAATGAATTGTTACAATGACCAGTACAGGAAAGAAATCATTTTGACGATTTTACGGACGACGAGTTTGTCGGCAATTGATGATGACTAAGAACTTATGATGTTTGCCATTAAAGATGGAGAACTTCACTGTGAATACACGTAAAACTGTGTAATCGCATGGGCGCCATTTGAGCAACCGATACACCTGCGCAATGCACATTAATGCGCAAGCGCAGGTACGACGTATATACCTGATGCGCCTGCGCCTAAGCATTACCGTGAACCGCGCAGGCTTATCGCTTGTTCAAATGGCGCCCATGGTAATTACACCTTTTGGGCAGAGTTTTCCATCTTGTGCCTTCAGCGCTGTACGACCTTTGGTTGCCATGAACCTCAGCTCGCTGCAACTCAGAGACTAACATCAAAATAATCCACTTTCACGTCATGCCACGTCTCCATATTCATAGCCTGCAGAGCTCAAGGGTGCAATCCAAGCCCGTGTCTGAATGGTGGCTTGTGCTTCAGTTCACTCACCAGACCCAGTGGTTTCATTTGTATCTGTTCCCAAGAATATTACGGACAGCTCTGCCAAAATCTGGGTAAGTTTTCTGCTTCTGTACTAGTGTTCCACCATAAAATACTCCACACATTGCGATACATGTTTGTTTGCAACTTTTATAGTTGAATAAAAGGTACATCATATATTCTACATCATTACATATTCTGGACTTTTTCAAGAGTGAGGAAAATGCGACTTATTATTTTTGGCGATTATTCGTTTTATGTGAATGCGAACTGAGGAAGAGAAATAAATGAGTTATTCAGGAAAAAAAGGGACATCAAGGGTGCACTTTGACTTCAGCAGCTAAGTGAGAAGAAGTCAGTTTTATCAGTGCATGGTGGATGTATCATAACTCCGTCGTTAATTTTGCATGCAAAAATTGCTTTCATCAGGTGACGTTAAAAAGTATAACTTTGTCGAGTTTCGGCATTTTCGCGTATATTAAATATGATTTCCTCAAGAAAATGGCCTGCGTATATTCGATATTTGGTTAGTTTTAGTGTAAGCAAAACTAAAATTGTCTGCTACCTGTACCCTTTTTTCAGTAACCGCCTGCGCACCGAACAATCCCTGTGAAAACAGCGGGCAGTGTGTGCTTTCCACCAGCGCTGCCGAGGGACGAGTCTGCCTGTGTCAGAGTGGTTACTCGGGGGTCAACTGCACGATTCGTACCGGTAAGTGTAACATTTTGGGGTTTTTTCACGAAAACAAAACTCTTGCCATGTCAAATTCTGCGTGATGTTTGCCCCCTGTGGCTGTCTCAGTTGGAATGCAATGTAGTTTTTTTTTCTAATTATGATGTTTAGGATAACTTTGTCACAAAATGTTCATCACTGGAACAAAGATTTGAAGTACTTTTTATGAATATGTTTTTAAAGTTTGCTTTTATGCGCCTTTAATTGCGACTTTTTGAGTAGAATCATATCTTTTAAATTTTGTTCGGTGTGTTAGTAAGATAGTGGATGGAATTTTCCATTGAATTGGAAACTAATATCTTACACCTGCCTGCCTAGGTAAAACACTAATCAGTGACCAAAAGGAAATTAAGATAAACTTGTAAAGAGTTGTATCCAAGAATTAATGATTTATTCTGTCTTCTTTCAGCCCCACAAAATGGCTGCAGCCCAGACCCCTGCCAAAATGGTGGATTGTGCTATGTCAGTTCAACTTCAGGATCTTACCGATGTATCTGCAACAGAGGATACTCCGGCAATAACTGTGACATTCTTGGTTGGTCATCAGTTGTCTAAGATTATCCTGATAGAAAAGTATAAAACGATATTAGGAAAGTTCGTTATTAACTAAGCACTGTGCGATTAGATGGAATAAAGGGCTTAGTCGCTCGTCAAATTTTGATCTCGAAAAAACTATCCTCGTCAAAAAAGCCTTGCCTCGGTACCTGGGGGTATTGTTGTCACAATGGAAAAGAAATGCAACACATTCTTACAGCTCTTATTTGCTGTATACAACAGAAATCTTTTCTTATGAAGAGTTGTTGTTGAAGAATTGTTGTTAAAGCGTTGTAGAAGAGTTGTCAGATATAGTACTACCATTACTTTCCAGTGGTTTTCTTGAAACGCTTATATTTCGCCCTTAGATCTTCTGTGGATATCGCTCAACAAAAAGCCAAAGGACCACTCGGGGTTTGGGCTAAAAGTACAAGAAAGGCAGAAGTCATGTAAAGGGATAGGAAATATTCAGAAATTCATTTTGCCAAGTCACAGTGAAAACCATCTTAGTGTGACATATTTTGTCTTCTTTACAAACTGTGCACAGACCCGCTCTGTTCTCCCAACCCGTGCCAGAATGGTGGCTCTTGCACCGTCCATGCCAGCTCGACAGGCCGGACAAGTCGGTGTCGGTGCCCCTCAGGTTTTGCAGGTGAATTCTGCAATGTTACAGGTAGGTTTTCACTCTCAAAGAAGGCAGTCGCGTTATAAATGTTATACCCATCAACTGAGCAAAGCTTTTGCACTGTTATGTACTGCTATACATCTTCTGGAACTTTTGTTACTAAATACGATGTTTGAGAAAAATATTAATATAGAAATTAGTTACCCTATTTCAAGTTTCAAGTCGATGTTGTCATCCGAAGCACCAACTTTCATTGCTGTTCCTTGTTCGTCGAGCATACCTGGAATGAAGATTTTGCATCACGCACACATAAAAAGAAAGCAATCGGGAGCAAGCACTGCCAAGCCATGACCTGCTCTGCGTGCTGACCAAGTCGTAAATGACTTCAAAACGAACAGCAATATTATGCATCTACGCTGAGCGACGCGTTCTTGTCTGCTCTGGACAAAAGAGTGACGAAGGATGTATTCGTGGTGGTGGTGTATAGGATAGCGCGCGATACCAAGTCCCTTACTATAGAATGCAATACAATGGGTGACAAAACTCAAAATTCCCTAACTGGCTTTTGCGATTGGAACGGGAAAAACACAAAAGATATGCAGCTGTTGTAAAAGGATTGTCACAACAATAGCTCAAAACTCGCCAAGTTTCTGGAGATTTAAGACTTCTTCACAGCAAAGGCCAGGCGTGTATCGAAAGGGGAGGGGGCGTAGGTCAACCCCCACCCCGCGTATTTCCCTTTTTATGGGGAAACGGCCACGTCTCAAGGTTAGAGGAACCTATTAAAAACAAAATATGTAGGGGTCTTATTTTGTATATGGACAGAACTTGAGATTGAACAGCTTGTAGTAGGTCTACATCAGATTTCCCAACCTCATTCCCAGCAAAAGTCCTGAATTCGCCCGGGAAGGCTAGCTGTTTGGATAACATTTTATTTCTGTCCTTATGTCTTCACGTCCAGCCAATCTTTATGATTGTACCGAGAACTCCTGTCTTAACGGTGGTAGTTGCTTCGCCTCAACTCAAACGCCAGGAACCTATCGCTGTTTCTGCCGGACAGGATATACCGGAGAGTACTGCGAAACACTTGGTTCGTAAATTCATTATTATTTCAGAATAATATAGGCCTATGAAGCTATAAATCTATTTAAAAACATAGTGTCACAGAGAGAGGCAAATATTCCAGTGTCTACAAAGTTACCCATAAGAGAGAAAATGCAACTATATCGTTGTCGGTTACCTAAGGGGTTTTTGCCAATAACATATTCAAAGGTCCAGTTGCGTTGTCATATTTTGTTTGCTTTCAAAAGTTTCTCAAATAATCAAAGATTTGTTTTTATTTCGACAGATCAAACTCCACAACCGAATGGATGTAATTCGAACCCCTGTGCAAATAATGCATCGTGTATGATCTCTCACGCCAACTCATCTCACTATTACTGTCTCTGTCCAATGGGTTACCAAGGAGAGAACTGCCAAGGTGGGTACTATCAGGCTGGGTTGAAGAGGCCTAAGTTTAGGTGGGTTAGGGTTGCTGGGTAAAGGCTGGGGTAGGATGGGTAGAGGTAGCTGGTTTGGGTTAAATTAGGCGGCCAAGCTGGTTTTAGGAAGAAAGGCTGGGCTGAGCTGGGCTAGAGGTGGTGGCACGGGCTGAGTTGGGTAGGGCAAGCTGAGGTGGACAGCTTGGACTGGCTGTATTAGATAAGCTGGGCAAGGAATGGAGGGGTTTGTGTAACTGGGCTACAAGAGAGAGGTTGGGTGTAGCTGGGCTAGGGAGAGAGGGGAGGGATTGGGTGTACCTGGGCTTAGGGGGAGGGAAGGGATTGGGTGTAACTGGGCAAGTTGGGAGAGAGGGGGCTTGGGTGTAGCTGGGCTTGGGGAAGGAAGGGATTGAATGTAGCTGGGCTTGGGAGAGAGGGGAGGGATTGGGTGTAGCTGAGCAAGTTGGCAGAGAGGGGTTGTGGGTAGCTGGGCTGGAGGGGGAGGGATTTTTTAGGTTATGTTTATGTGTAACACCAAACCCTGTCACAGTAGATATTTCAAATATTACTTCCCTTGTGTTAATGCACGCAGAGGCATCTTGCGGTACTGGTAGCTCACCGTGTCTGAATGGTGGTACTTGTGTGCTTACCATGGGGGGCTTCCGATGTGAGTGTGCTCGAGGCTATGGAGGAACACTCTGTCAGACAATGGGTAAGTTTTGGTATGATTTAATTTCATTTTCCACTCAAATAGCAATTATTATAATTGTTAAATTTGGAATGACGATTTGATGGATGTTTGAATTAACTGAAACTATGTCCATATTATCTGTTTGGTTTTAATCATAGTGACGTGTGAGATCAATCCATGTCAGAACGGTGGTTCTTGCTACAGCGATTTCCAGGGTGGGGTGACGTATATGTGCCGGTGCTCCAACGGGTTCAAAGGTCACGACTGCGACAAAATAGGTAAATGCTTACCGGTACTTCTCCCTTTCTGCTCAGCCTGGTGCCAAAGCGAGATGGTTTCCCGTGCGCAAGTGCCCCCTCAACGGTGACACAGAGACATTAAACAGACAGTTCTATGGGTTTGTGCACACCGAGAAGTTAGCCTGAATACCCAGCACCAAACGCACGCGAATTCGTCACCCTGAAAAAAAAAGTTTTAGCAGAAAACTCGCAAAATGGTGATATCAGGCTTGCCAATATGTGTACGGTAAAAAAATCTGTACATTTACATGGTTTTGAAAATTAATAGATGTCCCAAAACAAAACAGTACGTAGTGCCATTAAAAATCTCTCGAACGTATCAAGTGGGCGGGAAAAATGTCTATTTGCTAAAGAACCGTCCACAAAACAGGCGAGAGCTAATTATTTCCCTTCTCAAATCACACTGTCCAAATGCAACTTATAATTTGCCACCGACAATCATTATGTTCTGACACCTCTGTACTTTCTTCTGTGTGAACTGCAGATCCTTGTCTAAGCAACCCTTGTGGTAGCAACCGAAGATGTCTGATGGAGGAGGATGGTTCTTATGTTTGCTTGTGCCAATGCAGACCTGATGGAACTTGTGAAATTCCAGGTTAATATCTCGTATCGCATATTACTTTCTTCGCTGTGTACATCAATCAACATCTAACGAAGATGAAGTCTACAGGATATTAACCTACGTATAGGAAATAAAGGCTATTCCTTAATTCCTTGATATGAGACGACAAGCCATTGACAATCAGGCCAGCGTGTGACTGTGTTAGCCAAATTGATAACGCTGCACAAGATCCTTGCACGAACACATGATTATCATTCGAGGCTGTCGTCAGGGCGGAGAACGCCGCTGAATATACAAGGATCCGCAAAACAAGTGCAGCGTAACGAAATTGGGTCGATACCAGTTGTCGATTCCGGTTGCCGATGCTGTTGCTCTCAGACAATTGAGTGAATGGAATGCTTCTGGGCTAAACTTGCACCAACTTTAAAGTAGTGGAACCAGGCATGTCTCCCGTTTTGCCTTTTAGTACTGTTGTGTTTGCGTAGAGTCTTGTACGTCGGATGGTGACTGTAAAGACAGAATCAAATGTTGTAGCAATTGGCTAAGGCCAGACCTTCATGAACCCTCAAGGCATCATTCGCATTTCCATCTAATTCCATTTACAGGGAACATTTAATCTACTAAAAATTCCTTTCGTTTGAGGCACAAGTTTAAATGTAGACATGGAATGCGTCCATGCTCATACCACGCCGTCTTACAACATCCGATTAAATCACACCCGATATAGGACTTAAATGACTCATACAAGATGGCAGACATTTTGAATCGAGATCCCATCCATTCAACTGCATTTTTGATGTTATCATCCGTTAACTCCAGGATCAACCTGTCTAAGCTCGCCTTGTCTGAATGGCGGCACCTGTCGACCGAACATCGACGAAGGCTACACCTGCCAATGTCCATATGGATACGCAGGGGACCAGTGCGAGATTCGTAATGATACCACTAGCTGCCCGTCGAATCCATGTCAAAATGGCGGCGTGTGTTCCTCCTCTGGGGTCGCCTTCACTTGTACTTGTGCAGCGGGATATTTTGGCACTCTATGCCAGTACAGTAAGGACTCTTTTGCACCTATTTATTATCCAAACTCCCGTCGATTCTTTGCTGCACGAAATTCAGAGCAGTTTTACGGCTCCCATCGAAACTCATGATCTGACACTTCTGTTTATTACACTGCATACACCATTCGACATAATCTGACTTCTAGAACATTGTGGAGAAAAACACGAATGAGGCCAACTTCGAAATTTACCGTGAGCATTTGCCACCATTTGCTTAGTAATATGACTGTCCATTGCCCAAACTTAATCCTCTTCAATTGATTGAAGAACATTCAAAGTAGAAAACGTGTCCCTCATAATGTTGTGATTTCCTCTGCATTTAATAATCAAATAAGTACAAACAAAAGAGGAACAATAGGGGGTCCCCAGTTGCAGGCAAATACACACTTGTGTGTGTTTGTATCCACTCTGGTGTCAAAAAAGTACGGGCTCGCCATTCAGAGATGTACCAATTTATTTCTCTTCCTCCAGTATTTCTTCATCCTAACGACTAGTGTTTGAATTATTTTTGGTACTTTATTTCCCAGGTTTTTGCAGCAGCTTGCCGTGTCAAAACGGCGGATCCTGCCAGCTTACCGCCAGCGGTTACCGATGTCAGTGCGCTCAGGGGTACTTCGGCACCTACTGTGAGAACTCTGAACAAGTAGGTTGCGCTTCAGACCCCTGCAATAACGGTGGATTATGCTACGATTCCCCAACAAGTCCGGGAGCTTACTTCTGCGTGTGCGCGGAAGGATACGCCGGGACTAATTGCAACATTTCCGGTAGGTCTACTCTGTAGTAGCTGTATGTCTGAAATTGATCTGTCTGGAATTGAGATGTATGCTAGTCGTTTCCCAATATAGTGGTCCTCAATTTCAGACAGCGCTGAGAAAATCCAGGATGCATGTTCCCAAAAGATATATGTGACTTTTGATGTCAAAACAGCATTGGTTTCTGCTACAGAGATTTCTGTTTATTCGAAAGCAAGAAAACATTGTAAAGACATTACTTAATTTTTATTGAAAGGAAGTGTGGAATTAAATTAATGGTAGCATTGATTGACTCTTTGTGCAGCTAATGCCTGTGTAAGCCGACCATGCCTAAATGGTGGCACCTGTGAACCTCGTTCTACCGGCTTCCAATGCCAATGTGCACAAGGCTACATCGGAACTTACTGCCAAACACGCAGGGACGATTGTTCTCTAAACCCTTGTCAAAATGACGCCAGCTGTTCTGTCTCTGGGAATCTAGTCTTGTGTAGCTGTCAGACAGGATATTTTGGCGATCGCTGTCAGTTCTTGGGTAAGAAACGCTCTTTTGGAAGATTTCGAATGAGGGCCACGTCGATGCCTATTAGTGCTTATAGTGCAGAATAGGCGATTTCAAAGTAAAGCAAAGTTGTTTCCTTTGTTTTGAATTGCTATCAGGAGGAACCTGCTCTCCTAACCCCTGTCAAAATGGCGGGGGCTGTTCTGTGGCCGGGGGAGTCGTATCGTGTACCTGTGCTCAAGGGTATTATGGTAACCTGTGTCAGTTCAGTGGTAAGCAAGCATTCCATGGCTTCACAGTCGTCAAGGCTCTATTTAATTCTTTTAGCCCATGCTTTCTGATTAGGATGACTGATTAGGTGTCATTTGCTTAAATTTTATTTCTTATCATCAGTGAAACATCCTGTCTTATTTTATTGGGTTATGTTTTGGCAGCTGCTTGTACCAGTTCGCCTTGTCTCAACGGCGGCACCTGTCAAGTTCAGGCCAGTGGCTACCGTTGCATGTGCCCTATGGGTTTTATCGGCACACGATGCCAAACTACAGACGGTGGGCATATAGGCCAGTGCTCGCCTAATCCCTGCGAGAATGGCGCCACGTGTTCCTCATCTTCATCTGGTTTGTTCACCTGTATTTGCCCACTTGGGTTCTTTGGGCATTTCTGCCAATCTCACCGTAAGTCAACTTTGACTTTTGATAAATTTCAAATGCAACGACCAAGTTTATAAATACAGACGAATCAAGATGACGCTGACAAATCTGCAATGAGTTTTTGTAACTTTTTCATTACTGTCGTAAAATGTCTTTTACAAAAGGGAATTATTCGGTGAAAAGTTGAAAGACAAATGAAGGAGTTGAAGTGCTCCTGGAACTTTCCAAGGCTGTAAGTCCGCTGAAGGTCCTAAAACTGTGATAATGCCGGAATACAACAGTTAAAAGTGTCTAAACTTCTCGACTTATAAGGCAAAAGAGTCCTGAGCGTGACCACGAGAGGGCACAATTTTCTTAGCAACAGAGGCTCCTTTGGTAGGATCTACATTTCGCTGGTTCACAAACAACTACGAAATATGTGCGTTGTGGTGGCGTAGCTACCATAAAGAAATGAACACTCCCGACCCATATGGCTCTTTTTCACTGAACCAATGGGGGGTGCTTCTGCTCAAGCCGGATAGGCCTATATGACTTGAAATTACGTCATGAATAATATCTATTTTGTCTCAGAGGCATGCCTGAGCTCACCATGTTTCAATGGCGGAACCTGCCTTCCTGAAGGCCAAGGCTACAGGTGTCAATGTCCCCGAGGCTACAACGATTCGCGATGCCAGACGGGTAGTGAACCACTGCATAGCTGCTCGTCAAATCCTTGTCAGTACGGAGGAACCTGCGAGCCGAATGGCACAACTAGCTTCACCTGTAGGTGCACTCAGGGATTTTCAGGAATTCACTGCGAGAATGCCGGTACGTAACCTGTAGTTTAGAGGGTTGTAAAAAGTATCCACGCAATATGTACATTTTCGATGCACACCTTTCTGCTTTGTGCCACCTCAGAGGTAATACTGATAGTCTCCGCTGCGCGGATGAAGCAAGGGCCGGGGATTGTCGTGGAGTTAGCGGCCAGATGCGGTATTCCCAGATATCGTAACATAATGATCTTGGTTAAAAGATGTATGTTGCTGTTACGTTGTGTAGCTTTTTAGTATTCATGGGGTCACTTCATGACAACCATATCTTTGATGAGACAAAACTGCTAAATACATTTAATTGCAAGCGTTGGTTTTGATGATGTCGTTTGTCAATCTCTTGCAGATAATCCGGCTTGTGTAATTCTCATGACCCAAAGCGATAACTGTGGTGGCAGGGGACAGTGTGATACAACGGCTGACAACCAAGTCAATTGCCTCTGCGACTCTCCTTTTTTCGGTATCCATTGTCAGTTTAACTCCATAGGTATCCCGCAGTTCATGGTGGACTTCTTCTGCCCAAATGAGGCCGCTAAGCGTGCGACCTACAGCGGTTGTCATGCCGTGTACCGTGATTCCACAGGTTGTAGCGGACATGGCTGTTGTAGCTGGGACTCTCGAGGAGGAGAAAAGTGCGAATGTTTCCGAGGATATGGCGGACCATATTGTGAACGATTCTACGGTTGAAGTTAACGTTAACCGAAACAAGTGGGATCGCAACTACAACTGGCATTCGGACTGGTACTGGTATCGGAAACCATATTTCACACAACACGCTGGGGTAATCAGACTTGAAAAAGGCTATAATGGAGGATGCTTTTCAGTGGGCAGTAAAGCATGACATTTCAACAGGGAAATCTTCCACAAGGCTTGACGGCTAGTCTCCTTTCAAGACTTGCAAAAAATTTCCAGTAGAAAAGTATATGATTCATCCCTGGACTGCTGTGTGATAAACATACCTGGACCTGGTACAAGGTGGAGTCATCGGAAACCAACAACTGCTGCGGCCACAGGTATTGCTATCAGTTTAGCTTCTGATGCGAATCCAACAGTTTTTATGAAGGTGTTATTTGCAGCTTGCGAATTTCCCGTTGAATGAAATTGGGGTTCCTTTTCGTATCAAACTGTAAATTGTTTCAAACACTGTTTCATATCTGCCAGTAAGAATGTATTCGTCTGTGATCCCCCTTTATGCTTACAAGAAGTTGAACTTGTGGAAAAAATTCCTGACTGGAGAATATCTTGACCTCAATGTAATGTCTTTTACGCTGATGATTGATTTCACCACTTTAAATGAGATCGTAGTCGTTGCTTTTTCAAATTGCTTGTAAAATGCATTTCTTATTCTTTTATCATTGTCATCAAATACCTTAAACGATAAAATGTAACAATGTGACGAATTAATACTGTTTCTATTTTTGAGGTATTTTTAAAGCCCCGTGAAAGCTTTTGATTGTTTCAGAATTGCTAAATTTGTCTCTAGAATCTATGGTTAGCAATTAAAACACAATGTTGCTATCGCATTGTAGATATATTTAAATGTCAAACATTAGATGTCCAATTCCTAAACATCAGTGTCCAATGGCTAAACTATATCAATCACAACTCTAAACACGTTTAGTATTTAAACATATATTTACAATATAATTGCGAGAATGTGTTAGGCCTATAAAGGTGAACATGGTTTAACACAGTTTTTAGAGAACTGTTTCCAGAACACAAAATAGGCATTATTCATACTGCAACTTATTATATTGCTGGTAGTCAACTTGTGAAAGGGGACAACGTAATAGGTTCACGCATCTGAAATGAGCAGCAATGTGGAAAACCACTGGCCCATTTTTCTCAACCTTTCGAGCGGAATATTGGCAAGGTACAAGGCAAACGTAGGGCGTCGCTTTGACCTCTAATCTGGCGTATTAAAGCAATGAAAACTTGCATTTTTAAGAACTGCAATTTTAAGAACTGCAATTTTTAGACTGTGTTGTCTCGGGTGTAGAATGTTTTCGTGTTTGTAATTGTGGAATTTGACAGAAAGTTTTCCGGGCGAATTTATTTTGTCGTGTGATCGTTTAAACCACATCACCTTTCACTACTTTGGCCTCCTGTTTTTTGTTCTTTTTCATGGTAAGAGATTTACGTTAGAATTCTTTTCATACGTTCTTAGACCGCTTCTTGGGTCTTCCAAACATGTACCTTATACGCGAAGATAAACATATCCATGTGGCTGTTCTAAAATAATAATGTAAATAGCACCGCGAGTAGTTTAGCAATTAATAAAGTATAATGTCTGTAGTTTTTCATTAATAATCCAAATTCGCTGCACATAAAGTAAACTATAGATTATGCCTTTTGTTTTTGTACTCAAACGACGAGATAGCGATGTACGACACATGGCTGTTCAGACGTGTTTTGTGGGTAGCTCTTACAACTGTTATAAGGAATAACCGAAAGATGTATACGGGCGATTTACAAGAGGTGCGCCACCAAGAGTTTGCAACACGTTGGCCAATCATAACGCGCGAAATTTGTCGACCCTTTTCAAACGCGCATTGGGTCGACAAATTCTGCGCATTGTGATAGGCCAACACGTTGCAAACTCTTGGTGGTGCACTATTGTGAAAAGATATACTCTTAACTGATTTCGATGTTTAAATAAATGAATATATCATATCGACTAAAATGCATACTACACAATGTTTTTGTTGTTAGGGGTTTGGGCTTCGTTTCTTTTCTGATCAACAGACAGACTGGTATGAAAACGGCTTTAATCAAACTGTAACAAGTTCTTAGAGTGGAAAATTAGGCTGAGTTTATGATCGTCATAAACGAGCGTGGTGTTGACAATCATGTGACTGTGGGGGCGGCACTTCAAGCAAACTGTCTGCGACGTCCTTGCATCCTTCCTTTTGTAAAGAAAGAATAATTAACCCGGAAATAACATTCCAGTGAAAACTGGAAAAATCAAGTATAAAATGAGGAACAAAATCTACTTGTCGACCTGGATGGGATTCGGTCGGTGTGATATGAAGAGAAATACCACTGCACTAACTGAACTCCTTAAAGGGAGGCTGCAATGCATTTTTTAAAACACTAACTTTTAAATGTACCATTACATCTCAGTTAATCTTGTTTTCACTTTTATAGGGTATTTTGCTCCCTTTTTGACTTTTATGCTAATCAGTACTTCCCAGGAAGAGTTTCTTAATGTTGAAATAAAGTATATCATTAATTGATTTCTTTTAACCTTCCCCCCTCCTGCGAGAGATATTACTGCTGTAGTCGAGATGTCTCAGTATTTTGAAGTTATGGCCATCCTGAGTGGATTGTGCATATTGCCCTCTTGTCGTCCTTTGCTCGACTCTTCACGCATGGGTGATTCCATGATTTGAGTTTTAATTTTCCTCAGTCCATTGCACAGTTCAGATATCCATGATCTTGACAGTGACAAGAGTTTCAACACTGGCTCTCTCCGTCTCCCCCCCTCCCCCTCTGTCAAAATTGAGACTGTCAGTGGGAAAACCCATCCAGTTTAATTTTCCCGATTGGCTAAAGCAAGTCATGTCAGTTCGTGTATATAAACCGAGAATAGATGACTATGGCCTTCTATACCTGCAGTTCAATCTTCCCTCTCGAAATCTGCATGAATAACGGCTACGTACATTAACTTGATAAAGCCTGGTCAGTACTCATACTTAAAGAGATCACGGCAGGTCGTTGTAGTGCTGGACCGCACAAAATCGTATCACACTATTTCAGTAATGTGAGCAGCATTCATTGGCCTGTGACGCACTGCGCTATTAAAATGAACGACGCATAGCACGAATAACTGGCTGGAAAGTGCACGTATAGGGATGGAGACTTCTAGCTATCTTCAGTAGACGACCATTGATGATGCGCTGTCTCGATGCTACTTAACGGCTAGAAATCCAACTCTGCGGGAAACCACACAGGCATAGACGGTTCACCTATTAAATGACATTGTCTTTCACGAGTTCATTTGTCGGGTAAGAGCACCATTACGACAAGTCATAACAGCGGGGATAAGTACCTTCAACTCGAGAACTGTCTACAGGCATGCAGTTGGCCTCCCGCCAGTGTCCTTCCTTAAGCAGTGGGTCTCATTCCAAATGGACTTGCAGCTTGCCAGTTTTAGTTGTTAGTGCCTGATGCTTTTAATTTTTCTGATGGTTTGACTTGCTGACATGCGCACCAAAGCTAACTAGTTGATTACATTACCCGACCTCAGTCGGCCAGGATGACTGTTCACAACGAGCTATGTATGGATCCACCGTTTATAGGCTGAATGACGTAGGGATGGGAGACTGTGACAACCTCGGAGACACTTGGAAGGTTAAGTAAAGCCAAGCAGATCATTTCATGTCCATACAAAAAGTGGGTTCCGTTGTATCAGGTGAGGTAGTATTTTGCAGCAGGAGGGATTGGCCATGGGTGTTGTTAGCGCCGTCAAGCGGTTCACCCGCGCCGTCATCCCCCATATAATCGTTCTCTCTCTGTTGTTTGGGTACCTGATATTTGGTGCTGCCGTCTTCAGCTACCTGGAGTCAGGCAATAGCGACGTGGAGATGTACAACCTGGAACGAGACGAGCTCAAAGAAAAGCTGATGAGTATAAAGGCGGAGAATGATTATTCAATCCCTTCTAGGAACGAGTCATCATTAGCACCAGGAATCCAGGAGGCTTCTACAGTAGCTGTTGGCACGTCTATACCGGACGAAGACGTTGGTGAGGTGGTGAACGAGCTGATAGACCGAAGCCTCAGGCCAGAGTGGAAGGTTGGAAGGATGCAGGCGGTGCAGAGTAATCGAGCTTGGTCCTTTGCAAGTTCCATGCTTTTTTGCTTGACAACCATCACCACCATAGGTAAGAGGTTGGAAATTGTTTGTCTGCATGTTGGCGAGAAAGACCAGTTGCTTACATCTGCAGCACTTAAAGGCTCTCACAATGCATTTAAAGACTTTGCCCTTTATGACCTAGCTGTTTTGGCTGTGTCGGGTGAAGAGGCATCGAAATGTGCCATGGATTTCCTTGTTTTGAGACTGATCATTCAGAATCTGGCAGTAACTATTTAAGATGCTGCAAACTATCTCGAAATTGCAAAAACAAATTATACTTAGGAAGTGTTGACTCCCCACATTCCTTATCTGAATGTTTATGAAATATTCTTGTTATCTGAGTTATTTAGAAACGTTTCAAAACTTCTCTTCACGTAGTCAACTCTGGGCTATCAGGTACTCGTGAATACTGCTTCATCGTCCTCGATTTTTGGAGAATACAATTCGCTTTTAAACCCAGAATCAAAATAAAGTTTTCTGCATTCACTTGCACGTAATGACTCAAAGATATAAATCCGAAGACACACGGTTTTCCCCTCTGCAAGAACTTTGGTTACAGTTACTTAAAACATACACATAGGAAATATTACATTCTAACTTGTATTATGAAATATGTTTTTTCTTTAAAATCAATTTTCTTTTTCAATGGGGGCTGGTTATGGTAGTAAGACGCAGAAGTATACGCTACATGTAGATCCATAAAAAGCCAAAGTGGAATACCGTGAACACGCAATGAACATTGTCACACAGAAATAATGTACCAGCCAATCAAACCCTTTTGATCAGGTCGTCGGTAACAACATTAACCCTTACCCCCTAGGGCGTATGTAAAATCATATTAAAATCGGAGGATTTAGGATTTTTATAGTCAGGAATGCTGATGAGCTGAAACATTTATGACTGAAGCCTCTTTGGAGACAGAAAGCAATCATTGACACATTGCTCATGAGAGATTTCTTCCTTGAGCACCCATTTCAGCTGTCGCTCCAACAAAATGCACGGAAGATATATCTTCATGAATTTCAATCAGGCCCCATCTCTTGGGTATCGTAACAACAGAATTCTTTTTTTGGTATATTGTTTAGTCTCATTACAATATCTTTTTAGGCATCTGAATCTAACCAGCCGTTCGAGATGAAAGGAAAGGACAAGGGTGTTAATTTAAAAGTTGGAAAGTGCAAAACGTATTTCCCTTTGGACTGAATTTTCACACCTGTGAAACAGGCACCAAATTAGTTCGTAAGTCTTCAAAACTCGAAACCCCGAGGCTCTGTGGAAGAAATATCGGTAACATATTGTCTAGACCAAAACGTCAACGGAAATGTTCCCTTCATGTTGTGAAACTACGGAGGATATGAGGATTGATGTATTTTTGAAGTGATCTAGATCTCTTGAATTTCGGTCCGCTTTATAGCTCGGGGTTACATGAATTTATAACCGCATGGGACATTTTCTGAGAACAGAGTACATTGATTTACAGCGCATTATGTGGAGTGAACTGACATGATTTGAAGCTTGATCTTGACAATAATGTTAAGTGCATTCATTTTCAAGCTTCGCAGATCAAACAGTCGAGCACAGAGCACTGGTTGTATAGTCTCTCTCAGACTCACCATGAAGATATTCTTGCATTCCATACCCAAGTTGTACTTTAGCAAACTTGTTTATTTTCACATGACGTGCTGTGATTCAAGACATTCCCATTTCTCTGCTGAAACTAGATTTTATAATGTAAGTGACTGTTGAGGCAGCCTACTGCAATCTGACTAATGAGGCAAATAACTTGCAATCGAGACATTCATTAACGATGTGGAAGACATTTGGAGATATATCTAGTGGTTGATACACGGTGTCTGTTCGGACATCCACAATTCCATTGCACAAATAAAGGGCCTATGCAGGTAATTAATCCACAATAAACAGACATAATTATGTAAATATACACACTGCATTCCCTTGTCGTGTCCTTTTATAATGTTATCGAGTTGAGCTATAAAAGTAACCGGAAATTTGTGACGACAAAAAATTTGAATTCAGTTCATGACAATCCCTTAAATTAGAAAAGGTTGTAAACATGAGTATTTGTTGAAAGGGGCAGTAAGATTGAAATAACAGGAGTAAATCGCAAAGATCTCTGAATTTAATGTGTAAAATTAGAATATTTACATTTTCCATGAGAACTTCTCGAACATTCCAAAACTGAACTCTTCTTCTTTAAGTTTTATTCTCGCGAACCCCGCTCGAATATTTGTTGAATAAAGGTTATGATTAATGCACATTCTAAGAAAAGGGTTTTCATCCAGTTACCAAGAATTGCGTGAAGTGACATTTTGCGCTGTCCACCAATAGCCAGTTGATTTAAAATTGTCGGAGTGTCTCATAGCTTACGATGAGCTGGTGTAAATTGCGAAACCATCTGTGCAGATTGGCTTGGCAGTCATACCACAGAAGGCAGAGTTAAAAACTATGTGTTACACAGACGTCTGTGTCGTGTTCAATTCAAATCCCATTAACACGATGGAATTCCAACCTGCCCTCCCGCCATCGTCTGAATATCATATCTTCTGACGAGCGTCATTTAAGCTACTTACTAGAAATAAAGATTGCAGTTACGCAAATGAGATTCAAACTTCCCTACTTTGAGCTTTTTCTTAAAACTATGGGACCACACAGATTGCAAGAGCTCAACCTAGCCACGAAATCCTAGGCAACTTTTACGCAAAACGAAGTCTTAATAAACAGAATGAGCTTATAGACCACAGTAGAACCAAGGCCTTAGTTGTTAAAGGGGACATCCCATAAACCATTCAGAGCTAGGCAAATATAGAGAGTTAGCACTTTGTTACTGGGGCTAGTTTGGGTGAGGGTTAGCTTGTATAGCCAAATATTATGGCTGATAAATAGGACTGGGCAAAAGCGGTAGTTTGTATGAAGTGAAATGAATAACACGAGCCCCGAGCTGGAACAAGAGAGGACGGAATTTTCCCAGAAACGGAGGCTCCTTTGGTCAAACTGCACTTCACTGGTTCACAAACGACTATAAATGCACACGTAGCGGCCGCGTCGCTACCAGCAAAATCAGGACACTCCCGACCAGCATAGCTCTTTTCAACTGAGTGATTAGGGGGTGTTTCTGCTCAAGGCGAATTTGGCTGTTCACGTGTTGTTGCGATTAAATTTACAGAACGAAATTGCTGGTAGTTCTATAAAAAAAAGTTACACTAATGCTACTTGCTCGTTTCGAAAATAGTTATTGGAGTTGGAATCATTTTGTGGGGGTATTAATGTTAAACTGTATATCTTACACCTGTTTTTCTCATCACAATGTGCTATATTCGTCACACTTAGAACACCCGTGCAATTTCAAGTCAAGCATTAAATTAAACGAGTTGGTCTACCTTCAACTTGCACGCAGGCAGTTTCTAATTTGCCGCAGTTAGCAAACTGCTAGTTACTTATTCTCCAAGCTATATAGACAAAAGTCATTTGATTACATTCAAGCGAGACACGATTGAAGAAACATGCAGAGTAACAACTCAGGCGCAAATATGTTATTAAGGAATTGTCAGTATCAGAAGGGACTATCACTCTCGCGAACGGCACCTCTCTCGCACATTCACGGTGGCCTGTTCTCGAAAATCTATCAGATGTGATGAATCGTTAAATCACATGAACTCAAGGTTGAAGAGCGCAACATACAAAACTGATCAGTTAGACACACTAAAAGGTGCAAATGTAACGCATTGTCATCTTGGTTTGAATAAATTTGCACTCCACTAGCACGCAATGCGTGACCCGTTTTTCGCATGCAAGAAATAGGCCAAGAAGTCATGATCAACTGGAAAGAATAAGGTCGTGTCATGTGGCCTAGTATTGTGGCCATATTACTCCCCACATTACCTTCCGACCCCTGCAAATCCCATCCAGAGTATCCTCGATTGTTTCGCGAGGACAACCCCAAAGCAAGAGATGATTGGACTCCTCACGGTTAGAACTCGACCGTTCATACCGTTGATGAACTAGTAGCGTTCTGCTTTTTGCCCAAGTTTTCTAAGGCTGCCCTACATCAAGCTGAGGGTCATGGAGCCAGTCTTTGAATTTCATACAGACACATTCCACTAATTTTGATTACCATTCATGCAGTTCCTTTCGCTGTCACTATTGAATTCTCCACAATTCTCATTCCCTCTTATCTTAGCGAATTTTAACACCGTGTTAATTTGCTGCTGTCTGAAATTTTTTACATTTTCTTCCGAAAATTTTGACTTTCAAGTACAGTACATGTATAATTATATTGTTTACCGATATTGTTGTAAAGAGAATACATGCAAGAAATCTCTTTACAAGACCGGTAATAACATGTAACTGTAAGGACTGTGGGTAGTGCCGGTTAGTGAATTAATGAAACCCACAGAGCTCAGTTCGGCCAGCAACATATATAAAGCTAGGTCCTGTAACCCGCGTCATTGCACTATCACGCCAACACCTAGATGTGGTACACTGCGTTCGTTTAGTCCAAAGCAGTAGTAATAATGAGAAGTTGAACATCACACTGACTATGGCGTAGCAAACGCTGCATGTAGGATCATCAAGTTTACATCTGGATTCACGTATGTCATATCCTCCGTCTGGCTTGGGTAGAGGAAATGCCGATGTTCATATTTATACATTCCTGTTCAAAACAAACTTCAGCATAAAAGCTTCAAACTATATGTTCTCATATGGAAGATGACTTCTTCATATATGACAGTCGTCATCTTGCAAAGTATCTCAGGCTGTCACTATCTCCCTTAAAATTAGACAGAATCTAAAAAACATAGGTAACAGCCCTACTGCCACAGAATTAAGTTTATTTGCCTGACGCAAATCACATTTTTAGCCATTGCACCTGACTACCACTTATACCTTCCGTGTTTATGTTCACAAGCAGAAAAAAAAATGCGATTCCTCTTGACTGACCATGCCTGCTCATTCATGAACACTACCAATTTGTTATCTTAAGATATCCTTTAGTTTACATCAAACCTTTAGCGTTAAAGTTATCGACAGCAGGTTAGTCATTGCGGAGAACCGTGTGTTCTCTCTCTCTCTCGGGAATGCATTTTGATGTTGAGGTAAGGCCTTTTGCGAACTAAGTAAAAATAATTCGCATTTTGGACATTACATTGTGCGATATAAAATCAGTTTAACAAATCAAATGTCAAGGGAAATTATGCCACTGAAACATGAAATTCTGATAAAGCAGAAGGTGGGAACGAGGTTGATAAGACATTTTTATATATATATATATAGGTAGGCCTATACAATAAAAACCAATCTTACTTGACATCACTAGTCACTCGTAGAAGGATTAGTCACGTACGAACTATAGGAGGGGGCAAATACGCCACACAATAAGTAACCTTGTTAACGATACACTGGGGTGAGGCCTTTGACATATGTTCCATCTATTGACTGATTATTAACGACACCGTTTTCACTGTTTATTCCCGACCAAGAGTCACTCCAGTGACATTTTCGAAGGCTTTACCAGAAACATTCTGAAGAGGTAGATAAATGTTTCTCAAGAGGACGAAAGAAATTCCAACCATGAACCTATTCGCAGTGACTGATAGGCTCGAGCATTTGCTCTGCCAGTCAATGGTGTGTCATTGGCACGTAAATTGCACTTTCATTATAATGTCGTGACGCGTATCACAAATACGTTGCATCAAGGCACAGTTGGGCTGTCAGAGCTTCCCTACCCCCGATAAAAACCATACGTCATCTACGTGTAAGAACAAACGGTCAGTTGTGCGTCAGTTTTGCAATGGCATCATGGTGTAGCGTGAAATTCGGAGTCTACAAAACAGTGACCTCTTGGACAAAATGCGCCCTCACGTTAATAGTATACTGCACCTGCCCACAGAGAGTGAGAGTCATGAGATTTCATTACATGATAATGGCAGACACAGCTCAATATCAAACCACATTCAAACTTATTTTTGGGGTGCATATATTACAAATTCTAAATACAAGTGCTTAATTTTTTCATGTAATGCGCCTTTCAATGTTCCCAAAGATGTTTTTTTCTGATGTGCTGTGTGAGGTATAGAGAAACGTACAATTACAACAAATTCATAGTGGTGTGCCTGTAACTAAATGATTACCTAAAACCAGTGTCGCTACTTCATTTTATTTCCTATTTAAATACTTTCAAGGTTTACTATAGGAGTGTTTATAGGACTATGATCACTTGATCAGGCTGTCTCGAATTATCCACGAAGCTGAAGTCTTTCAAGGACAATGAACCCCTTTTCATACAATGGTCATTCCTATGTCGCGCCCCTGTACGCAACATCACGCACGTAGAATTTCCTCTCCTGAAAATCCTTTATTTGATGTTACCATTTATACGAATGGCCCGAAGTATCGATTTAGTTAGCGGTGGGTAATCGGATTTGGTGGTCATTATACCCCGCTGTAAATGAGATCCACGGTCTCAAGCCTACTGGCGCGTGGCTGAGCACTACGAGGCCCCGCCCCCGTGAGAGACCTACCTTGATGTGAGTGCCATTACCTGTCTGGTAAACGAGTCTCGTAACAAGACTAAATGCCACATGGGTTGCAAATGTCTTGTCATAATTGATTGAATACGGCAGGAGGTAATGACAACACGGCGTCTCTTGTCAGGCATTACTGTCTGCAGTTTAAAGACACGGTATCGAAAGTTTACAAGGCATCGGTTACAAGCTCATTAGTTTTTGAAGATGCGTAAAAGCTCTAACTTCGTTGAGGGAAATACCCAGTTTTGCAGTTTTGCGAATATTATTTTTTGTCCTAGAGGGACTGTTTTTTCTTAATGAGATTGGGCGAACCAATCATGTTATATCAATCAACATGTCCCTGGTGTCTTTTAATGCTTATGTTTAATATCCAAACACCAGGTTCACGACTTGTCAAACAATCGACAGACAAGAATAATGATGATCGTGGGGAATCTGCTTGTGTTGTTTACAACCCTCTCCCCTCAAAAGAGGAGAAACAGTCATTTAAAGACAATTAAAACGATTACACATTTTTGCTAAAGAGAAAGGGTTCGCGCTATCTCTCCCGCCTTTTACAAAATTATGTTCTAAGTTACTAAAGACATACAAAATTGAATCGATTTTACCTGGCGCTACTTTTTCCAGGGCCACTTCCGATGTGACTGTTGTGTAATCCTATAGCACAAGATTCGAGTGTAAATGATTATTAAAAAGCTAAGTGTCGTCTTTTTGTTTATACTGATGTGTCTGCATTTGAAGATTTTATCTATGGACACAAGAATATTGCAGAAGAGATCTCTCTTTTCTCCTGATATTCTTTAGGTTACGGTGACGTGGTTCCGGTGACCGTTGAAGGGAAGGTATTCTGCGTGATTTACTCGATATTTGGCATCCCACTCACCATGCTCTACATGGGAGGAATAGGTAGCTTCCTGGCCCGTCTTATCTTGACTCTCTGCAAGATTCTTCATCTAGGGCAGCCCATTAAGCGGGCTATGTGCCCCTGTGGGACCAGGCGCAAGAGCGAGTCCTATGAAGCCGCCAAGTCGTCCTCCAAGCGCAAGACAAGCCAGGCAAAAGAGGTTCAGGAGGAGAAGGCCGAGAAGGATGGGTCGATGGCTGAGCTGTCTGTGGTGACGACCCAGCATGGAGTGGAGGCGGGCCATGGGGTAACATCCAGCGTGGAAGACGAATTGGAAGCTCCGGTGTTACTCGTTGTAGCTATCATAACGGGCTACATGTGTGCGGGAGCATTCTTGATGGCAGGCATCGAGGATTGGTCCTATGGAGAAGCTCTCTACTTCACTTTCATCACCCTGACAACAATCGGATTCGGGGACTACGTTCCTATGATGCTGTACAAGGAAGATGCATTCTTCGTTTGCATGGTCTACGCGCTTTTTGGTCTGGCTGTGATATCTATGTGCATTGCCCTAGTCCAAGCAAAGGTTCGTCGTCTTGGTAATCGATTCTGGGACTGCATTGGATGTTAAATTTACCCACAGGTACACCAACAGGCTTTCAAATTCATCCCTATACCAGTATTGTACATGTCAATCAAACTTCTTGTCATTCACTCACACCAAGCGGCGTTGCGCTTAGTTGTAGTGATTTGTATCGCACAAAGTCTATGCTTGAACTCGAAACATCCGAAGAACTGATATCGAAGCTAACCACCACTTCAACGTCTGCAAAGAGTCTAATCGTACATGTATGATCGTATATAACATCGATACCGTTTAAGATTTGCTTTTTATAACCTGTACTTGTCTTTACTACCATCAGGTTCACTTGTGCCTCATTTTGAATCCAGTTTAAAGTTTATTTACACATATAAATCGTAAACTAACTTATAAAATCAACTTGATACTGTTTGCCATGTCAGTGTGGTAAAACACACGTATTGTATTGCATTTCAAGTGAAATCTAATGGGGCTCAAAACAAATACATGTATACACGCTTGCCTTTTGGCGTCTTTAGCTGGTAAATCATATTTCCCATAGATACGCGTTATTTCCAGTCATGGCCGAATACATCTGACCCAGCTACGAGTAGATTTAGCGCCCTCTTGCTGTATGTGGCTAGTAAAGCAGTGACGTCATGAGATGTAATGTGAAAAGTACAAGGGGTTGTTTATTTAAATATCAAATAAGTTCGGTCATTGTGATGCCTCTGATAAGTAACATATTGTGATGTATGTAGGATTTTCTTTGTCTGTATACGAAGATGCAATTTTGAAACTTCAATATTACACGTACAATAAATAACTCAAACGCAGTATTTATGACGTCACATTTATGCTAAATACGACCCACGACCAACACCCCAAGACAAACACTAACACAAGACTGCAATTAAAGATTTGAGGGAATCCTTCTTGGGTAATAATTCTACGAGTATTTACACTACCAATGACATTAACAAGCAACTCAGTATATGTTAGCATTACTCTCAGTATGCACAATTAACACGCACATAAATAGACACATATAGACCTATATAGAATGTTACATTGTCAAGATTTTATTGTAAATTAATTGTTCAAAATGTTAACCTTTAGATAAAGGTTCTAATTATGATCAGTAACCTTTCGGCATACTTCACACTAATTTACTACATTCATCACACCAAAAACACTTTTTAAATCTCATACGCCTTTTATGAAACATTGTGTAAGCATTAATGGCATGGTTGAAAATATCTTTTAAAAAAGTGTAAGCCTATTGTTATGTTGCATGAAGAAAAAAACGCATGGAAAAGCAGCTTACGCGTTTCAATACTGAAAGATTTGCTACGCTGATTATGAGTGATAAAGAAAAAAAGACAGAACTTTCGAACGTCGTCCAGACTTTCTTTCCCTTTAAGTGCGTCTTTGGTCGATAGAAGACTTGATATTGAAGGGTTATGTATTTGAGGCGTCTGTTCAAGCCATTAAAAAAATCGCATTGTAATGACTTCGTGCGTGTGCCAGCGAGAAGGGTGCGTTCACCAAACAACATCACGATTTGGGTAGGCATTTTTGTTCGTACGCATTCCCAGCAGGAGCTCCCAGTAATAGAGCTTGAAAGTTGACCCCTGATGGCGCGCTTCCGAAACCCTTGGATGGGAAAAATAAGTGCACAAATTGTACAATTTAGAACATTTTTTTCGTTAAGTTACTCAAAAAAATCCAACTTAGAAAGACGGCTTTGGAAGATATTTGCAAGTATATCAGTTTATACAAACTGAAAAATCACCTGACCTAAAAGAGAAATATCCTTCAAAAATTGACCTATCACTTTCGAAATTCTATTAATACACGTACAGTGTACAGTGCATGCGGAAGTCTCATACCCAGAGGAACATTTACGGTTTGGAATTTTACAGTCGTCAGTCGTTAAATGCTGAAATAAAACAGATCAAAATATTTTATACACTTTTATAATTTATAAAGTAATAAATTTTACGCAGTAGTCTACCTTTACGAAGGATTCTAATATTTTATCTCACCCTTGCTGACAAGAACTGCGTCATGTCAACTCACTGGAATCCGGAACCCATCGATTGCAGGTAGGTAAATCTTTGCAACGTTGTACAATCTCGTTTTCACAGAAGCCCGGCCCGAGGAGTGAAAACAAACGTGCATGAAAAAGGGGACGTGGTTACGATACCACCGGAAGTGAAAGGTCGTTAATGAAATTCGTTTTTTACCCATCTCTAGATGACTTTTCTGAAATATTACTTGAGGAAAACAAAGCTAAAATGTAAATATGAGTGTTTTATGGGGTGGTTTGAGTTGGGAATCATTCTTCCAAAAATTATCGAACGTGACAGGACGGCCTATGTAAAATCCCAAAAGGCGGACAGCCCGAGGGTTCCAAAGCTCGCTGCGAGACCTTCAGGCCTAACTTTCAGGCTCTATTTCAGGCTCGATTTCGTAAATCTTTTGCGTTTTCGCGCGGGTGGACATCGAGTGTGCGGCACCAGTGGTGTTTGACAGTTGGTCCGCCCTCTTTTCATCGTCAGTGAGCAAGAAGTACTCGTGTACAGAACTTATGGATCCAGTTAGAATCTCCGCCTCTGGCGTCAGCTAACGCAGGTGGTTGGTGACATGAGCGCCCTCTTGCAGGGAATCGATTTAACAACGTCTTGAGCCAAGACTATCCCTCTGATTCGTCTACATACAAAAATGCAGTGGCGTGATAACATAACCTCTTATTTCATTCCACGATGATACATTGACTATCAAGTTCCGTAAAAGCACTTACGTCAATGCAGGGAGGATGCAAGCTTCGCATCCTATACTTCGCCGCTGGTACATCTTTCTGTAACCGCAACTGCGAAACGATCCTGTCTTCTTGTTTCCTACCTTCATGCTGTCGCTCGTGGTTGGTGACTACATTTCCTTCCTGTTTGGTGAGTGCAAAAGCTCTTGCAATTATTGTGCTATATTAATGATTTGTGGGGTACGGTTCCCTTGCTTCACTTGACCAAACTTTTCTGTGATTTGCGCGCTTAAAGCAGTGTCAAATTACAAGTCACTCAAACATAATGAATAAGTACACGCTCAGTTCGTTCTAGCTTCAATTAGCTCTTTGGTATAGTAAGGTACATCAGCCTTTTAATGTGGTAACTGGGCCCAAGAGCCGCCTGACGAGTCTATGTCACTACACGTTTACGCAGTGTACATGTACAGTATACTTCACAGTTAAGGTCATTATCTGAAAATGCTTAGCAATGAAAACTGTTTACAGACGAGCTCTCTTCTTTTAGCGGAACTTCACACAAATTTGCTTATCAGACATTTAATGCTCTTCAATACTACTCATCTTATCAAATGGGTCATTCGGTTATGGACTTTGCTTAGTTCTCTAACTCCAAAGGTAATATCATGTCTGACTTAATGCCAAACATCAATCAGTACATCTTGAAAGTTTGCATGTTGAAAACCACGAATAAGATAAACTCGAGCACGGTAAAGCCACCTGCGACTTCCTATATTCGGAATCATTTTGGCCCGTTTGAATTTGCCATTTGGGCTCAAAATGATATCAAACCGTACATGAAGTATGGGAAAATCTAGCTGCACGAATTATGATGTCAAAAAGTTAAAATGAAAGTTTACAATCGGTGATCTTTAATAATATCAACCACCTCAAATACAGGTTGAATGAAACGTTATACGTAGTTATATTTGTGCATTATTCAAAATGGCTGTCTATTCTTCGAAATATACATTCCCTTCAGTTAAGTAAAATTAAACTAGAGCGTATGACTCTTTGAACTAAATTCCGTCTGTGCAGGGAAAGGAAACTATTTACTCGTCTGTCATGAATTACAAAAAGTAAGCACAACTGTGTTCTTGAAGTACTCTCTAAATAAACTGTGTAGTTATAATTGATTAGATCAGATCCAAGTAACCTCCAGCAGTTATAAACGTCCGATTGACAATGGCGTCGATCCCATTGGAAAACCAGTAACAGTACCGTTACGATTAATTGGTTAAGTACATAGAAACCGGGGAATCTACTTGCAAGTGAGTGAATGTGCACGCACATACGGAGCATGATTCATTCTTGCCGGTCTGCGATCCAACGAAGCTACGAATTTTTGCTTTAATTTGTTTCTTTTCATGCTTGCTGAACTTAGTTGCGGAACAGGAAACTCACAAATTAATCCAGGCACAACAGTGCTTGCTTTAGAGGTCAAAACGGACTCGGCGTGGTTTGCAAATGACCGTGGCATTTAATGTTTTGAAGAACAATGAATGGTAGTTAAAATAAGGAGTCATTCAGGCAGAATCAGAGAAATTTAACGATATTTATTTCCTCTGAAAATTTCATGAAGACAGCTGGAGCACAGACACGGGCGCGGCTCTTGAAATGTTTCATTATTCCAAACACCGCATCATTACTATTCAGAAATAATAAGAATTCTACAATAATTTCGGCAGGTGAATCGATGCCGAAGATTTGGCGTACTGGAAGGGCAATTCTGATAAACAATAATTAACAATTCAAATGCTTTTCGCCCTATCAGCCTTCAAGATAGTGTTTATTTTTGATTGACTCTTCTATTTTGGAGTGGTAACTCAATTATGTAGCTCATTCGTGGGAAGGATTCAGGTGCGTGACATCAGAAAGAGTTGCCGGTCATGATACTGCATTTTCAGGCAGTCAATCAAAGCGCGTCCAGTAGGTTAAATGGACTCGGCCTTCCTGGGTTTGTTCTATGCCAAGCTAAGGAGAGCTGATCACTATGCATAATGTAGCCGGGGTCCTCCATGACCGTCGAGTTCGTGAATGCTTTCAAAATTAAGCTGCACTGCTTGAGCCTACAGAGATGTTTACCTCTGTTTCAGCTTCCAACGAGTCCTGGTTGGAATGGATTGGGTTCTCAACCCACAATTCCTCCGAATAAACTGCATGTTTTTGTTCCAAATCTGAATCTGGATTGCTCCGTCTTTCCTCAAAGATTCACAAGGGTCCTGCAGGCCAGTGATTTAACCCTTTCCTACAAAACTGCCAAAAAGAAATCAAATAGCAAGGAAGGATTGTTTATGTACTGTAAAAAAAATACACTTCAATGATTTTATGCAAGAGCACACGCACGTCCTCCAATAATTCTATATAATTCTATAATGCTATGTACGCAAAAACCTGAATTTCTGTTAAAAACCAGGGAAAATGCAATCAGTGGCCCCTTTAAGCAACGCAGCAAAGATGGTACACGCCAATGCAATGCCCACAAGTAGTTGATATAAATATCTTTCGCTATAGAGTACAAACAACATGTGCATTTTCCCTGGGCGGCACTTCGGGAAGTTACATATGTGGCAAGCCAGGCGGATGAAAGCGACATTTCACCAGTTGCCAAGATATCTCAAGTGGGGCCCTGCAAAACACTCTCCTTCAGAGGGAAATATATCTGACGTCAGGGGTCCAAAGACTACGCGGAAAATTGACTGCTAAAATGTCTCAAAATAACACGAGGCTCGCTCTTTCCCCAGGGTCGGATGTAGGTCCGGTAACGAGAGGAAAAACAAGTGCATCGCTGTTTGGTGTGCTCTGACATAGGTCGTCCTGGTTGTAGGCTTTTCAGTAATAGAACGGTGCCAACACTAGGTTTAAATCACTCTGCTTAACTAGGAGTGTTTAACAGAAATAAAAGAGACTAAATGACCAGCATTTTTCCTCCAAAATTTAACTATTTGGGCTTCTATACTAAGCCTTATAGATATGAAAAATTCGTTGGATAGTTGTTTCATGTACCGCTATACGTAACAAAGCCATTTTGGAAAGAAACAATGCAACCATTCTATATACTCTAATTTTGTAAAAAAAAAATGCACCCGGGCGTATACGTATGAAGTTATGGTTTTCTGCATCGCGCGACTGCAAGGCAAAAACACATAGCGTTATGACGTCAGAAGGGACCTTGGACCATTTCGGTGAAGAGAAAACGAACCAGACTGGTTACGCAGTTTGATATAATTACCTTGTGCTGGCCCGAGTCAACGATAACCCAGAGGGTTACTCAAAGCATTCCAAACAATCACGTGCTTTTTTACGAATGAGATTCCATAAAAATGGAAAAGTGAGGAAGAGTTTACCAAACGTGCTCGTCTCAGCGACGCCTAGATTTGGGAGGGATGCTCGTTTCCAATCTAATAGTTTCACGACCGAGACAGATCAGGGGCTGGGGCGAAAATCGCTGGAGATAGAGAGTGTTATGGCCATCTCCTTGGCGTTTTGACTGTGGCCGTGAGACATAAAATCGCTGTTGAAGTTTTGTGCATGTACAAAACAAACGAAATGCACATTATGGCGCCCTCCCATCAACATTGCCATGCGGAGAAGCACAGCAATCATAAAAGGAGAATGTGTAAAGATTGAAATCCAAGAATCTGAAGTTTTTATTTCGAAAATCATTTTAATGGGAGTGGAACGCCTTGTGAACAAAAATACATTGAAACTGAGACCTCGCATTATAAGCAGCCTTTGACGTGTACTGAATGATTTCTTTCATTTCTTTTGTACGTTCTGGTTGGGTTAGTAAAATGTGAAATGATTTCAGGGTACCGTGCAATTTTTTACCATCTAAGGAGTCATTTCTACCAGGCATACGGGTCACCGATAAATAAAACTATTCACTACTGCCCTGGAATGTTCAGTCCACAGCCGCTCGAACTCAGAAAGAAATGGTCGAACTTAGAGCTCTTAAGAGTATTGTGGGGTGACAAGGCAAGTCCCGTTTATCAAACCAAAGTCAACAATTCTAACCAATTCTAATGTACATCTTCTTCCTCCGTCACCATCGACGCTTCACCAAGAAGTACTTCAAGACGAGTGAATGCTTTTAGTGGCTTGTCTTTATAAAAAAATGCAGGCGTTTGCAACTGAAGTAAACTGGATAAGTGCTTACTCCATGCGTGACAATGACTTGGACTTGATGTAGATACAGTATGCACCAGTTCGGCATTTCAAAAAGCCGAGGTCTTTATGGCTGCGCTGATAGGACAGACTATCGCGCGAGCGCCCAGCTATGCCGAATAGCCTTGTCCTGAGCATGCGTTGTTGAAATACCAACCTGACTCATTAAAAACTATAGGGGTGGTAATAAGAAACTACAGCTAATTCAGACACAGATTTGAGAAAAGACAGAAGAACAGAAATACCAAAAGTACAGATTGAGAAATTGTGTAAATGGCATGACTCATCTGAGGTTAATATTGACAGAATCCAATCAATATCTCTGCCTCAAGACTTAAAAGATGAATTCTGTGATCCACTCTATCTCTCGCTCTAGAATATCTTTTGAACAAATATATTACCCGACTTTACCGAAAATCGGTGCTAATTTCAAAGACTGGTGTCTCTTTAGACGGAGTACCATCAGTTAACATCTACAGGTTGAGGAAAGGTGCGAAGGCGGACATCTATTAATAGTTAGTTTCTTGTGACCTGTCTTCTTGCAGATTTTGATGTCTAAAGTAAAAAAAATGGGCATATCTTATGTTGTGGAACACGAAACCAACAAGACTTTCTTCACGTTCTTCTCCGAGTTTGACAGAGCTTGGAAAGACAGCCACATCCTCGTCAACATCATCCTGGGGTTCCTATTCGTCATGTCCTTGGGCGGCAACACCCTGGTCATCTCCTTCTTCGTCCGTTTCAAGGCCATTCGCCAAGTGACCAATCTCTTTATTACCAACTTGGCTGTGTCTAACCTTACCTTTTCCATCTTGGTCCCCCTGGTAATGACAACGCAGGTGACAGGCGACTGGGTGGTTGGTGACGCACTTTGCCACTTAGCGACAGCCATCGAGTTCATGAGTGGCATTGTCTGTGCGTGGACTATGGTTCTGATCAGCGTCGATCGCTACCAAACAATCGTCAAGCTGCCAGGCCGGCGATCTACACTCAAAGGCACACTGGTCCGTGTGGTGCTGGTGTGGATCGGAGCCATATTTTTCACCAGTCCTCTTGCAGTGTTCTTCAGGACGGTTGAATCTGCAATCAAGGACAAGTCCAAGAATGTCCTCCGGAGAGTGATCGTCTGTTCAGTGGATGCACCTGGTCCTCATTACATGTTGTTGATTTACGCATGCATCAACATCTTCCTGGTGTTCATCATTCCACTGACCATCATCACGAGGAACTATCGGGCCATCATGAAGAAGTTCTCCTCCAGCGTCCAGCGGATGCGAAACCACATGGAATCGGCTCCCAGGACCCGTATCAGCTCAGTTCGAGCTGCGGCCCATGTCCACAAGGAGGCTCGCGTCCTACGGATGCTGATCGCTATGGTAGTCCTCTTTGTACTCATGTGGGGTCCCGTGACTGTTTTCATCTTGGCCTACACGGCTGACTACGAGAACCAGATCATTCAATCGTACCAGCTGACAACTGTGTTCATTATAACCTACGCTAATGCCGCCTTGAATCCTGTGGTGTATGGGATATTGAATGAACAGTATCAGAGTCAGTTCCGACGGCTCTTCAACCGGATCCGGTGCAAAGTGACTCTGTGTGACACCTCGGTGAGAGAAAATGGCAGCACAGTGGGACGAAACAGCATCAGGCAAGTAATACGCACGCTGAGTGGCAGGGAAATTCAGAATAAAAGATATGACAACGGTGACGGATTCTGTGAGAATGTTATGGACAACATCTGTGAAGAAACACAATCTTAACTATAATAAATGCACACGTAGGGTCAAAAGATTTAATTGTATTCTAATTACGTGTTCCAAAGATGCACATTTTAAAATATCATCCACATTATTTTCACAATTATAATTGCACACAAACACAAAGTGGGGAATACCTTATCGATAAGAGTCTTGAGGGACACACTCCTTAGCACTTTGTATGATATTTACTCAAGAAGTTTTAGTTTAGGAATTGGGACAAAGTGCCAAAATAACTTTTTTCGAAAAGTTAAAAAAAGCCAAAGTTTGGAACAAAACTGTCTAAAAGGCTCTACTTTTGAGACATTTATCATTCTCCACGCATTTCATATCTCACAATAATGTATTTGTTTCAGATCTGATGTGGATCATATCATTGTGTGTTTTTTATGTGTAAAATGGAAAAAACCGTTGTTAAAGAAGCAAAGCACATCTGTACAATGCGAAGGTACTTTCTGACACCTGGGTACACGTTTACTGTGTAGCCAAAGCATATTACGCACTCCTGGGGAGGCACTATTGACACCATCAAGTATTTCTTCTTAGAAAGAATAATTGCTATTTTCATGGTTATCTAAATAACTAGTGATGTTTCTGGGGTATCACTCAACAATACCGCCGTTTCACCAAGAGATTGCAACGTGTTCGCCAATCACAATGTGCGAAAGTTGTCGACCCAAAGCGCGTTTAGAAGGGGTCGACAACTTTTGAGCGTTGTGAATGGCCAACGCGTTGCAAACTCTTGGAGGCGCCCTATTGTAAAACGGCCGTATTACATTACTACAATTGTTATTAGGAAACATATTCTCTGGTGCATTTTCAAGGGCTTTTTAGAATCAGAATGTTTCAAGATAATCATTTTATCTACTTGAATAGTAACGTCAAGAATATCAGCAGATTATGAAAGACAACCAGGCAACCAAAAACATAAGGATGAGAAAACAGCTGAGAAATGTATACAATGAAATCGCTTCAACATACAGCAAACTTAGTAAAACTCTCACACATTTAATGTTGACAAGCATGTATGAAGCCTTTCTTTACCAAAAATACTCTTTCGTCAGAAGAAAACATCGCCCTAATTCTAATATTTCATGTTATAGTGTTACTCGAATAGAAACAGGGCAAGAGCAAAAGAACTTTCAGCTTTCTCTAATTTATGAGCTAACTGCAACTCCTGAATGTGGTCAGAATTCACATTTTGTGGACACATTTCTAGAGAGCTTCAGACAAGCTACACGGTAAATCCTGCAGCCTGTAGTAACACATAGAAAATTCTATGACACCAGGTGAGTGTTCAATGAAAAAAGTAAGCCATCAGCTTTAAGAGGAAAATATTTAATGCTTTTTTTAATGGGCTTCAAGACTCTTTTTAAGAAGCACGCCCAATAAAGTTTATCTACACAAGAAAGTAACACCTGCAATATCAACACATCTGCATTTCACTTCTTTAAGGCATTCACAATCGATCAGTAAAATATGGGCGGCCATTGGGACAAGAAAGACAAAACGAAAATAATAAATAAAACCAAGAAATACAAATTTATATATTCGTCGTTTCTCTTTATACTTTTCTCATTCATATTTGTCTGGTGAATTTATATGTTTCGTTTGTATTTATATTTATCGTATGTGATTGTATTTTTCATTTATGTTTATATTTTTCGTTTGTATGACATTTCTCTATGTATATTTATATTACTTGGTTTTATTTATAATATTTGTCTTTTTTGCCCCAATGGCTGCCCATAGTAAAACCTTTGGCCAAGCCATGCACTGGATATGCAACAATACAATGTCTACTTTACAAAAAAGTTACAGGAACCAGACGAATCACTTGGTTTTAACCAGGACTTTGTTTCCAAAAGGAGTGGGAAAACAAAGAAAACACAGAGAATTTCAGAATTTGGGATCCTCAAATCTGTTCTTTTAAATAGAACTTTGTTGTAACAGGTGTTCTTTGTATCAAGAGTAGACTGTAATTGTAAAAATAAATCTTGTTAAATAAACAGTCTACCATTAAAAAAACCAAACTTCTTCCAATTTCAATGTGCAGATCAATTAGTAGAAGACTATTTGTAAAGGGTGCACATGATCTCATTAAGGTGGAGAGGTTAGTACATTCCAGCCAATAAATACCTTAAGCTTCTGTCTTCTGCAGAGTGATAAAGAAAGTCTTGATTTCTTGTGGATTCAGGGTGAATATGGTTGTATTTCTAGCCCTTGGCGTTGCTGCATTTGACAGAAAATTCAAGTAAACTTTTCAAAGTGAACCAGAAATGCATCCAAACTACAAGTATTTGACTTGCATAATGATGAATAATGGCAACAACAAATGCATAGAAACAAAATTACTCTGACATTGCTGAAAAGAATAGGAGAGAGAGTTGTATAAACAGCGAGCTGAAAGGAACAGAAGCGTTTCATTTGATTTATCCCCTATTGCATGTAATTGAAACATAGCTCACCTGCTCCAGAATTGTTGAACTGTTGGCTAGCACTTGGGTCATCTTTGACCTTCCAGGTCCAGCGTTTGACCTGATCAGCTTGCCAGATAGCTGTCAGGCTCCTCTCACTAATGCTGGCGATGGTACCCAAAGGAGACAGGAATTTCTAAGGTAATCAGAGATCATAACAAAAATATTGTAACTTGCTCCATCAACATGAGGAATAAGTTGGGAAAATGTTCCATTTTTAAATAAACTAGAATAGACCTGTAAAGACATTTTCAGTTGTAACATTAGCAATCAACAGCATGTAATAAAAGATGGAAATTAACAGGAACAATGTAAGTCAATAGCCATAAGGGATGGTTTCAGCTCAGCATTTTAAATATGTAAAAATACTTTTACGAAAATAAAAAATATTAATTTAACTGAATTACTACCATAGCTCTGTATTAAGAATTTATTAAAATATATAAATCATCCTGAATAGTGTATTTTGTTAAAATGGTATTTTTGTTCAGTAATAGTTTTCTCTTTAATTATTCTTCGACGCAAACAAATTTGGTATTACAGATTTTATTTTTTCAGAACAAAATGGATTGCTTGCCTTTAATTCCCTAGACATAGGAGGTCAAAAATATCACTCAAAATGCTTTAGGGAACAAGCCCGATAAAATGATTGAGGAGAGGAGGGACAAGTAGCAGATCCTGAGTGAACTACCTGGTGACCTGGTGAACAACAATAAATCTCTCACTTGATGAATTTGCAAACAAGCAAACTGAATCATTGTTTATTTAGATATTCTGCAAATCATCGATGGAATGCCAGACTGAATGATTCATTGTTGGAATAATTAATAACAAACTGGATGGTTGGTGGAATATTAATGTAGTCCACATGGACTGCTAGGAGTTTGAAGAAAAAGGTTTATGACTGAAGCATGAAAAGAAAAGTCAGGAAAAAACATAAGGTACAAAGAAGTGGAAGATATTGTACACTTTTTCCAGTTTGTAGAAATGGAAGTAAAAACCACGAAAATTAACCAATCCAAGAAGTTACGAGGATAATACAGGCATTTCTCAGACTCAGGTACCAGCAGAACTATGGTTACTCTCAAAATTTGAAAGCTTGACATAAAACATTTTGCCATGGAGCAGTGACTTACACTACGCTGTCGCGCTAAGTTCCGTCAAATGAAATAAACCTCAAGTTATTTTGAAAAAATTCTTCATTTGCAGAAAGAATGATTTTATTATTTCAGTTGTGGTAGCAGCTGATGATTGAGAAGTTGTGCTCTGTGTTCAAAAATGTATCAGAATTTATGAAGATGTTTTGAGCCATTTTGGTGGGTATCAGGAAATCTAAATAAATTCTCAGCCACAGCGCCCTCTACTGTTCATCCACAAAGCTACTGGTACTCACAGCAAGGTCAATAGTGGCTGGTTTGGAGAGCACCGGGTGTTCACCTTTCTCATACAGATGCTGAAGACGGAGCAAGATCCGATCCAGATTAGGATCTTCCTCACTCCTGTCATAACTTCCTTGTCGTACTAGAAATGAAAATCAGAAAATGACTCCCACAAAGTGAAAGTAAGTCTCATGAAAACCTAAAGTTCAAGGAAAATAAAGAGCTTCTAGAAACATCTACTCCATACTATGCTTAAAAATTTAAATGAGAAACATACAGTGTAAAGCTCCTTCCCTGTTTTGACAGCTACTATATATAGACTCAGCACTTTACAAGCAGTGTCAACAAGCTTTACCTATTAGCTGTTCAGAAATGTACTTATCAGGCCGGCCAAGACAGGAAAAAATTCATCCCTTTTAATTTTTCCACATTCACATTGGAGCCTTTAATATTACATACAGCATCTCCCTAAATCCAGCGCTAGTCTACAGCGAGTGATAAACTATGGGTGTTTTCATGTTTGAACAGCCGTTTGTTTGATCAAATGCCTTGAAAATGACAACGGGAACACATAAAAGGCTCAGTGTCAGGTGATCCGGTAAGCAGAGGATGTAATCGTCAAGGAAATTGATCTGAACCTTCCACGATCTGTGTTTAGCTACCATGGAATGCTCATAAAATGGACTTTGGCTTAGAAGAGTATGGAAGTACCTTACAGGAGAGCATTAAGTACTCACGGTAACCACACACTATCTACATGGAGGGTCAAGTGGTCAGTGAGGGCATAATGAAGATTAAAAGTGTGTAGGACCAGCAAAGAACCGAGTTCATAGAACTTCTATTCAGACAAATAAAATTCTCTAGGGTAAAGCAGAGAGAGTACATGCTTGTCTGTGTGACTCTGGCAAAGGGTAGAAGTAATTTTGCAAATCTGTGGTTCATGTAAGTGTGAGCACTGGAAGCAGGGTACCAACGGCACTAGATCGTCATCCCAGATGTCATCACTGTAATCTCTTTGGTACAGGTGAAGGGGAATTCATGCAAGAAACAGGTTGTATTCTGGGAGTTTCATTAGTCATTCTGCGTAAAACTACCACAATATTTGATGGACTGCTCGTACCTTATCCCAGATGATCTTTGACAAGTAACATTTTGACCGGGATGACCGAATGGGTTCCTCCTTGGTGGACTTTTGAGGATTGGAAAAGTTGTTTGCAAACATGCCCACAGGAGAAGGGTACATGTACCTGTAAGTTTTTTTCCATGGTCTGTCTGAGAAGGATAAAATATCTATGGCATCTTACATCTTGCTTGGAGGCTCCTAAGATGCTCTTTGTGGGATGTTTTGTAGGTCCAACCAGGAATCTTCATGGTCAGAAGGTGGACGTTGAGTGGGAGGTCAGTCAAAACAGTCGGCAAAGGGTTTGGACTATTCCCTGGACAAGAAAAACAAAATAAGTGCTAAGTGAATTTGTTCCAAGGATGGAGGCTGGTTGGGTTGTCAAATCATTTTCTTTCTTGGAAACTTAAAAACTTACTCACATAAAGTCCAGAAACACCTGCTCATTCGAATAGCCAATCTTACCACCAAATGACATTTACAATTCTCCAAAAAGATAGCAAGTCTCTAAACAACTTCCCACAAAATCAGAGAAAATCCTGCCTTTCAACTTCTTTTGCAACACCTCTGGATTCTGATTGACAGCCATGATGATGGGAGGATTCTCGAGGTGTAGCCAGGCACGACGCTGCAATTCACTGGAGTGTGTGCGGTTGCCTAGCAACAGCCATAGTGTTGGCATGGCAACCTCAGGTTCTTCCAGCGTCAAGTTGTTCTTGTCGTCATAGCCCGAGTTGGTGATGAGACGACGCAGTAGCATCACCTGATGTTGGTGGATACACCGTCAGGAATTTCCAGATCAATTAATCACAATCAAGACATATCTCATAAGGCTAATGGATTCTATTCCTAACTACACACATAATGTTATCAAATACCTGAAAGGGTTAAGATTCTGTGGATAGCTGATCTTTCAGATTTATGTAAAGACACACAGACACACACCAATATGTCAATGTAAATTCTCTTATTGCAATTACAGACTTTTATAATTCTAATGAAGGTGGAAATCCATTTGTGAATGTTCTTAATACTTCACAGATTTTCGAAAAGTAATTTCATATTTTAGTGAGTCTGGAACTCCTTTTAACCACTTGCCGCCAGGGAGCCCAGTTTTGTGTTTTTTACATGCAAAGCCGGGTCTCCAAAATCAGACAATGGGAAGTGGGCTTAGTAACAAAAACCGTACTCATATCAAAAGACCAGGCTAATGGGAATTACCAACATTTGTTCACTTTCAACAGTGGAGAAAATCCAGCATTTTTTTGAAAAGTATACCACGGTCGGGGCATTCAGTGCGAGCAGATTACCACCGGGGACAAAAGCGCTCCACCACCCCAGCATTGAGCCACACAGTACCGCTGTACGCTAATTTGGCCCCTATTGAAAAGAAGTCAGCAGCACACTGAGCCAGTTTCATGAATAAAAGAAAATTACGTAACACTGACAATCTTGGTTCTTTTTACAAGGCAGCAGGCCTGGCTGAAATACTCAAGCATCAATAGATGTTGTCTGTCAGATTAGAGTAGAAACCAGACAGTCGTAAATGAAGATATGAATTTTTAAAAAAATTTGAAAACAGAAAAAAATGAAAAAGATCCCATCCCAGCAGTGTCAACATTCATAAATGCCCCTGGCACGCTGTGGTTAATTCAGTTGCATTAGCTCAAGCCCTGGAACTTTGGAGCATTTTTTCTGGCCCTTCCCCTAGGCAAGCAAATGCTCTCTTCCTATATGCAGCAAAAACTTAAGGAGAGATCTGGAGGGAATATCAGACGATAGCAGAGGAGCTTAGCAGAGAATTGCAATTCTTATCTTGGCATTTCTGACTATACAGTGTTTCAGATACTGCAAATCAGTCCAATAAAATGGGCACTTTATTGCACTGCACAAAAAAGTGGTTCAGAAAAATGAAGCTAAAATTGCAGACAGACAATTTTAAAATTACTTTTACAGCTATGCAAAGCTGTTGGCAGAACTCCAGGAGCTGGTGACGCCTGTGTACAGGATTACACAGCATCCTCAACCGATGAAAAAGTAGCCAGACTTTTCAATATGCATGAGGTGCAATTTAGGATCCACTAATGAAGTCTTACCTCCATTTGTCCGTTATTCAGGCTTCCAACACCATGACTTCGCTCAGCCATTACAGTAAGGCGAATGTCATCTTTTGGTGACTCTATGTAAGCTGTGCTAACCAGAGGGTAGTAATTCTAAGGTCAGGAAAAAAATTGTACAGTTACCTCTTGTCTCTATGTCTGTTGCATCGATACGGACATAGAGCGAAGCAAGTACAAGCTCCTTGTTTATTCAGAACCACACAAGGTCTTTGCGACATCCATGTCGTGTCTCTTTTGATTTTCGAGCCAGACATACCTGGGCTTCAGGTTCTGGTTTGTTGGGCCTCCAAGTACGTTTCATAGTTTGGAAACCATTATCATTGGTGTATAGAACTCTTGACGAGTCAAGTTTAGTAGAAAACCTGCAAAAGAGAAAAGATAAACACATTGCTTTTAGAACCATTGATATTTCATTGCTACATTGGTAAGAAACAAGAGTTTTTCATCGAAGAAGACCAAATAAATAAATTTCTGAATTTAACGGCTAAAGAATACGATGAATAAAAATGGTTGAGAATTCTGTAAAATCACTCCACGTAAGCAACCAATTAGATTTGTCACACTAAAACTGTCAGAATCTCCTGTTGGGATTTCAATGTAAGGCATATCAGACAAGCTTTTGATCTGACCTGTAGACAAGTTCCTTGTTCGGCATCAGAGGTCCCACTTTAAAGTCTAGCTCAATGTGACCACAAACGATGTCATCATTGTGGCTGTGAGGAAGGTCAAAGATGCGAAGAGTGACGACGAAGCGGCTGTTTTTGGGATCGTACATACTGCCAGGCAAAAAGCACGAAACAAAATTGAAAGTGGGATGTTGAATGAATGATTCAATATTTCACCCCAGGTCGGTAAACTGTGAAGTCCCATTTATCAGCAGTTTGTCCAGACTTCCTGTTCTGTAAAAACTGATGGGATGGTTAGCTTGTGGAGCAGAAAAAGCAGTATCACACTTTACAAGAAGCCAGTAGTTGGGAAGAAATAACAAACTTACAAGAATTACAAAAGTAGACTGAACAAATCTTACTTGAAGATAGATTGTCTGGTTTCATTTACATAGGGTCCAGTGACAATGTCCAGCTTGGCTGATTCTCCTGCAGTGTGTGGACCTGCTCCCCATGGTCTGAATACATACAGATTAGATGTCTGTCCAAACATGGCATTGTAATGGGAGTAATACTCCATAAAGACTTGCTCCATTGGAATGGTCTTTCCATTCTTTCTGAAAGACAAGGGATGATGAAATATGACTTGAAAGTTTGCAAGGTGGATGTAGTAAGAAGACATTAGTTTCGGTAGCAATATGCGGACTTCCTTCATGAGTGAAGTTCTTAGGAAAACCAGTGTACTCAATATTTCAGACAGTAGGCTCTGTCTGTTGAAATCCAGGAGAAATAGTCCGATGGTGGACAAACTGTGGTCTCTGAAAAATCCCTACTCACTAAAAAATAAACCGATTCACATCATGCATGTAGTGCTACTTCATTTGAAGGAATAATGGACTGCTGGTAACTGTAGTGACTACAGTGTCGTTTTACTTATGATAGTCCTCTATGCTGATGACACCAGACTTTGTTTACATGTGTACTTTCCTATGGCCCAATGCCTTCAATGCTCGCAGGTCGTGGGCCCTTTCTGGTTTGTCATCGTTGCAAAGGCCTATTGTGTTTATATAAACATTAAATATAAAAAATAAGAACAAAAAACCTACTTGTCGGTGATAGCCATCAACATGTTTGTGGTGGTATCATAGGTCACTTCAAAGCAATCGTTGCTTATGCTCTTGACATCTGCTCCTTGCATCGGTTTGGTATCCTTTGAGGGTGTTATATCCAAGGCAACGGCACCGAGACTTTCTAGTTTCCCGTGGTGGGCTGTAGTGTCACTGGGATGGGTCTTATACTTGATGTAGTACATGTGTAAGTTTAGCGGAGCCAACTGAGCATAAAAAAAGAGGTGGTATGGTCCTCCTGGTTCCAGAGGGGGATTGACCTGAATCAATGAGAGGCAGAGGTCAAGTTAAAGACAGGAGTCCTCGCATGCAATTGAAATATACTCACAGGGTACAAACAAATTAAGAACTGCTCTCAGAGGCTAAGAAGAAATATGTCCCCTTTACATGAACGAAATTACATGAATGGATTTTTTTAAGGACACAAAGTGGAGACAAGGCCAGTTCACATTTTTAATTAATTGTTAATCGTAGGGATTTCCTTCACTAACAGTAAAATTCAAGGTGAAATTACACCTACTGAGGTCACAATAATTCTCATCCCTTTTGTCTGAAGTATACGCCAATCCTCACTGTCAATGCACACAGCCTAGCATACCCAATGGGAACAGCATATAACTGCAGGATCATTCTAAGCAGTCCTTTATTTCTACCACTCATACAGTTACCTGACTTCCTATATCTCTGCCATGGATATCAATGACAGTCACATTGGGGTCAGTAATGCTGGTCTGTACTAATCGCTTGACGGACCAGCCCAAGGAATTGTAGACTAGGATCGGTGCCAAAGGCTTATCACGGTTGACATCTGAAACATTAGATACAAAATTGCAACCAGACGTACCTCTAAGAAAAGTGAAATCATAACAGGAAATGGCAGAAGTGGCACCGTGTCTGCAGGCAATGGTACTTTAGAAATGGGCAAGGCGTCTTTTCTTTGGGAGATCAAAACCACTGTAATTCCTGAAGATATTTGTCACACCTTTAGTCTACCATCAAACCATGTTCCAAGGTTATTTTTGGTTAAATGGATTACTGCAAGCAACCATAACTCACCTAAGATACGTCCAGGACCCACTGAGGTAAGAATGTCAGGTTCCTCTTCATCACGCCCTGGGTTCTTGATGAGGTCCTGGAACACCTTCTTCATAGAGGCCAAGGTCTTGTTCTCTGCAGTCTCTAGGTGGTCTTCAAACATGCCCTTCACCTTCACGCTATCAGTACCAGTGATACCATCATGGTGTTGGACCTAACAAGGTAAACAAGAAAAATTGCCTATCCTTTTATTAAAATGACTGGAGTTATTTCACCTCCCTTCATTACTGAAGAGTTACCTTTCATTTACTGAGATTTCCATTGGTAATACATCCATGGGTGATTTAAACTTACCTTATCAAAATCAATTATTCCTCCAGACCACGTGAGAATGGCATGCTAATTGGGATCCACCTTTCAGGGGATATAAGGATGCCACTTTATGCTGGGGACTCCCAATGGGTTTGGTCATGGCAGTAAATAGTACTTCGCCCTTTTCTGTGCTCCACTTTCTGGGGGCAGGGGGTACAGGACAGTTGCATGGGTCCCTTCTTGCCTCCATCCCCTCCCCCTATTTACGCCAAAGTAAGAACCACAGGTGGTTGTGACAGACAGACAACTCCCGGTAACCGAATTGCATTTTCCTCGACACTGAAAAGCCCTGCAAAACCTCCTGATGAATTAAGAAAAAACGGACACAATTATGGGGGCTGAGACAACCAGAAAATGCCAACACTGACCTCTGCTGATGCCCAACGCAGCCCCTGGAGACTATTCAAGACTTCTGTGGTGTTGACGGTGCGATTCAGCTTGGGCTGGTGGAGGTAAATACTGAAGAGGGTTTCTCCAGCATGCAGGGTTGACTGAGCACGCCGAGCAATGCCTTTCAGGGCTGACCGTGAGGTATAAAAGCCTGTCCAAGCTGCATTGGCAGCTGCATCCAAAGTCAAATGGAAAAACTTGTCGTGATCAAGAGCCAAACACTAAAGAAAAGAAGCATGTACTGCAAAACTGAATCAAATGATAACTTAAATCTTCTAAAGTAAAATGACAAAAAATGAAGATGGCTTGCTAGTTATTATTCACGGTAACTGCACTAAATACAGCAAAATTCCATACAACTTTAACTGAACATTTAGGGTTTAGGACTAATAGGCTACTTACCGAAGGCCAGCCGTTGAATTTAATAATTTCTTGAAAATTCATAGTTTAGGTAATGCTAGAATATTTACAAAACTTTAATTTCAAATCTTTGAAGTGTCGTGCCAAATACAAATAGCCAGTAAGCCTTTATTACAGACTGAAGAAATAACGGAAGGTCTATGCCGGTTTCCTTACCTGAGGAATAAGACAGATAATCTCCTTCCTGTTTGAGGGCCCAACTCAAGTTTGTCTGATGAACAGCCTGGAAATACTCCCCCAGTGTAGCATATTGCACCTGTACCCCAAGGCTCTTTGCGTTCTGATTGATGTAAGCCACCAACTTGTCCATGTTCTCAAACTGGATGGTTGCATTGAAGAATTGCTTGTCACAGCCCTGGGTCAGGATAGGGAGAAACAACTGAATGCTAGCATACTTCACCAAAAAAACCAATGTCGAGAAACAAATTGAGACACTGGTTCCAGACACTTTAACAATTTATACATGTCTAACTGATTGAACATCAATGAACATCTGGCAAGATGGCATGCTGTGGACAGTTGATCTTTCCAATTCTCGTTGTTGGAGGAGGTATTTGTAAATGAGGTCTGTAGCTGCCATATTGGTAAAGTACCCAGGCAGTAATCACAGGAAATATTACATCCACAGAACTGATACCAGACTGTTCGCATGGACATGCAGTAATGAAGATAGTGCTGTCTGCTTTTTCTTATCTTATTAAAATAGTTTGCCCTAGCCTGTGAGGGAAATGCAAAAACATTATGTGCAGACAAATGCTGGTTTCAATTAAAGCAGCTTTCATATCACCTACCCAAGGCCATAGAAGTTGCTGAGTCCGGAACCAGGCTGCTCGCTGCTTGATGTTATCAACAAGGACGGCAGCATACTTCTTGATGTTTTCATTCGTAACAGGGAGGCTCATGTCAGGATAAGACACCCCTGGTGGTGGCTTTGGAAACACAGCATAGCCATTCCAGTAAAAGCCAGTTCTGCAAAAGAAAGGTTACCAAGACACCCTGAGATTTGCATCATTTTCCTTAAAAATTTTGAAAACCACCCGATGAGCCAGTTCAGTAATTCAACAAAGCAAAGTCATTCAGGATCAAAACACATGTGCAAGTCAGTGTAGGGTTTGCACCGACAGGGCAACCTCCCATGATCCTCAGATACGCTTCATTTTGGGCATGCGCTGTTGGAATCCCAGACTGGTTCATACATTCTATTATCTCCTTAAATACATCCATGGACATCATTAAATCAGCTGGTACACAATTGTATCCTGGAGTTGAGAGCATGTGCTAACAGAAAACATACTTTAGTAGAAGCCCTGATGGCTAATACTTGAAAGTTCAGAGAAAGTTTTATTTCTGTCATTTGTTTCAGCTCATCTACCAATGGAGTTTAGCTAGTTCTTTGCTTGCTTACAATCTCCATGTACTATACACAAAGTAAGCTGTCCAAAATTCATGTTATTAGTGTCTAAAGGTTTATTAACAAGACAGTAGCAGGCACAGATCAATAATTTTATCTATCTATAGAACAAGAACTGAAGGGTTCAATCTTCTATCTTCAAAGCTTATGTGTTACATTAAACTCCATTTGTGAATTTCTCAGAACTTTGGTTTAACCTTATACAATTTTAGGAACTGGTCTACTTGCCATTTGTGGCAGTAGAGGGTAATGCGGTGGGTAACTTACTTACTTTAAGGAGAACGGTAGGCGTCCAGGGGTGCAGTAACTATACTGATCCATGACATGAGTAAAGATTTGTTGGCTCTCGCCAAGCGAGGGTGATGCCCGCCACATAAACTGCAGCCCTTTGTTTTTCTGCATCTGCTCTTTGATGTCATAGTCAATGCGGGACGTAAGGTGAGCATCAAACCCCATCAGGGCAAAGAGAGTTGGGGTTGCTGACGAGGCGCCAAAGGGGTCTACATGCCAGCTAAAGCGAGGGCGCTTTCCAAAGGTCTCATAGATAAAGGAATGACCCTCTGGAAGAAAAAAAAAACACGCAAAGAGTGTCACTTTTCTGGATGAATGTAAATAATCATGAGTTTGGATGAAACAACCCTGGTTCATTACCGTCCCTCCCTACGAAACCCAACACAACACTTTCCATCATTGAAGGGGGCCATCAGATATGTTCATAATCTGCAACCAAAAGGTGCTTCCTACATGTACATCAGACATAAAGCCCCCAGATGACCCTAACGACTGACCTGTCATCTGCTGGATAGTGGCGCTATACTCTGACACAGCCTCATCATGCATGACTTGCCCTCCGATAATGAACTCCAACTGACCAGACTGTACCAGTTGATGAGTTTGTTTCTGAATGCAAAACAAATTGCGGCAATGTTGATGAGGGGGTGAGAATGTTAACAGGATGGAGGCTGATAGAGGAAAGAAACAAATGAATCAACTAGGCAGAGTAGCCAGCGTGTTCCACCGAGACACAGCCACTAGCCAGAGTAGCCAGCGTGTTCC